AATGCTGGGCTTTGCCTCCAGTCCCTGGATGTCACTGCATCCATCACCCAGGCAAGTGCCCTCAGAGCTGGGCCGTCTCCTGGACAATGTCCCTATGGACCTGTACACTTCCTGCTGAAAACATGATTTTTAGTACTTCATGTGCCAAAGAATTGAAAACCAAACCTGACAGCATTTGGCAAACAAAGGGAAGGATGCACAAAGTGAAGGGCAACACAAAGGCAGTTCCTATAGGTCTGATCCTTGGTGGCACCTCGTCTTGGTCCAGGTTAGTCCTCGGGGGCAACAGCGCGTGGAAGACACACAGGGTAAGCTTGGCTCAAAGTGGTCCAGACGAGCAGAGAAATTGTCTTTGTCCTTCCCTGAGCTGTTCTTGGCACAGCACCCTCCCATCACCGGGAAAGGAAGAGTCCTGTTGAAAACCCATAAAATATCCCTGTCACCCATGCTCAGCCTGCAGACTGCCACAGGCTGCTGACTCACCTCTGATTGCCGGAGAACTTTTTGTGCTTTGAACAGCTCTCCAAAAAAGAAATGGAAGACCTGACTTCAGCATCTTTGCTTGACAACTCACCCGTGAGCTTTGGACCAGGCAATGGCATCTGAATCTGCTTGGCATCTCCTGGGCGCAGGCGTGGAGGGGTGACCAAACGGTTTGAACCCCCCAGAGCCCCGGATCCCAGCGGGTTTCCCAAGTCCTCGGTTTACAGGCTGGTGCTCCCTTGCATTTCTCCAGCAAGACGATGTCACAGCTTCCCCTGACCAGTTTGCTGTGGTGCCACTGTTAACAGCTCTTCAGGCTCCTGGCCCTGGCCCCCCAGTGCCCCCAGACCTCCAGTGCCACCCCCCCAGCCGGTGTGTCTGGAAGCAGCCAGGCATGAGCCACAGCTCTCCCAGGGTGACAACCCTTCTCAGATGTGCCCCCCACCCTGCCTGAGGACCATAGGGGTGCCAGGGCAGCGCTGACAGGGGATGGCCCCCGTGCCCACGCTGGGGAACTCCCCATCCCATGTGATGGAGCTGCCCAGTTCAGGCTGTGTGCCACCCCCTCCCTGCCGTGGGGACCTTTTGCTGGGGCCCAGCATCTCGCCTGGGGTCCCTGCGGCCCTGCCAGCACAGGGTGGGGGCTGCCAACGAGACGGGGTCCACAGCGGTTCTTTACAACAAGGTTTTATTTTTCTTTCCTTTTGACAAAAAAACATTGAAGTTGTACATGGCCGTCAGTCAGTTCGGTTCCCCGTTTGGGTCCAAACAAGCGTGTTATGTTACAACATCCTGCCCCAGTGCCTGGGGGGATGAAGGCAGAGCATCTCCCACCCACCGGCCCTCGGCCCCAGGAGCCATCAGCCCCACACAGGGGGGGCTCTGCCCTCTGAGGCCTCACGGGGGGGGGGGGGGGACAGGAGGATGGGACTGGGACAGCCAGCCCGAAAGGGACAGCAGGGCTCCTCCATGTGCCGCGGCTGCCTCATCTCCCTGCACACCCTCCACGGTGCCCCCAGGGGCTTCGCAGGGCTTCGAGGCCAGTCCCAGCACCAAACTGGGAACCAGTTGCATACTACTGGTGAATTCCTGCCTGGGCAGGGGCTTGTCCCGTGCAGGCAGAGGTCGAAACTCATCCCCTGCCTTTCTCATCCTCCCTCCCATGGTCAAGCACAGCCAGCAGACACCAGTGGCGAGCGCAGTGGCAGATTCCCGGTGTCCAGGAGGCGAAGGAGATGTACAAAAAGCCACGGACGAGAGATCGTACAGCAGCAAAGTGAGTCCAGCGCCTTGAAAAGCGAGATGCAGTCAGGGCTGTTTTTCCTTCCCCCTCGGCGTAGTCTTTTCCGTGGTTCTACTGGGGGGGGGGTTGGTTTTGGTTTCAGAGACGTGCTTTGGAAGTGCCACTTTGTCCCCAAGCGGGTCCCTGCCTGCCCTTCCTGCTGTGGGAGCAGGACTGCGGCTATTGCAGGAGAGGCAGGAACAGGGCCATTTTTGGGCTCTCCCCCAGGGAAAAAAGGGGCTCTGGTTTGCTCTGTACAGTTCCTGTATGTTAGTAAAACATTGGTCTCACACCAGAAAGCTCAGGTTCGGACGCCGCAGCCCACCGCCACGTGCGGCTGCACCCCGAGGGGCTCTGCCCCAGCCCGCACCACCACTGCAAAGCATTGCCGCTCCCCGGCCCCATTCTGGGGCTGAGGAAAGAAAAACTCCCAAAGCTTGAAATCCACATGAAACGGCCCCCCCACCCCTTGGAGAGCATCCCTCCCTCCCTCCCACCCAATAGGCACAGACACAAAAAGCCACCTCCTCCCCTCCCCGTGGGCTGTTACTCAGAGCCCGGTGTATTGTCAGACACCTTTCTGCATTTAGAAGTAGACAGTGCCAGCACCTATATTTAAAGCAGGTACGGCATCGCCTCCCCCAGCCCCCAGCACCACCGTGTCCCTGGCTCCAGCCCCCCCACAGCCCCACGTTGCCCATCAGACCTGGCTCCCCCTGAACTCCGTCACAGGGAGCGATGCTCCAGCAGCTTCAGGTGGAAGCCAGGAGCTGCTCACGGGTGGCTGGAAGGGGACAGGTGAGACTCAGAAGCGGCCGGGAGATGCCCGTGCCACCAGCCAGCACCAGGGACCATCCCCACAGCCGTGTGGGGCACGGCTTGCCCCCAGGCACCGAGATGGGGGATGCAGGAGCTGAGCCAGAGCGATGGAGAGGGCTTCCTGGGGAATTTTTGGATCCTTTGGCAGCTGGAAGTGTCTGTTCAAGAAGCGCGAGGGGAACAGGGACAGCAGCGGTGCCACCCACCCGCGGGAACTGATCAAGGCAGTAGAAGGTTTTGGCCCCATCGGCTAAATCTGCTCCGTGGGGGGCGCAGAGGGCAGTTTGACCATTAGAGCTAGGGCGTTTGTTCTGTGACTGAGCCCAGGAGCGGGCAAGACTTTGGAGCTGCTGGGATCTGCTTCTCGCAAAGCAGAGCTCCTCCGGGGGACCTCACAAAGCGATCGGGGCAGGGGCGGCTCTGCACATGCAGGAGCAGGGCGGTGTGTGCCCATAGCGTCTTGCAGGCGGGAGAAGGCATGCGTTATGCAGGACCAAAGCAAAGCTTGGCCAGAGCCGCTGCTCAGCCAGCCAGCGGGGCTGGAGAACAGCCCCCAGGACCTGGACCACAACCACCCGCAGCGGAGCGAAGCCATGGGCAGAAGGATGGGCAGGATGAGGGCTGCGCCGCCTCCCCCCGCCCAGCCCGGCGGGCTGAAGGCCACCGTCCCATCTCCACACCCACGGCCACGCCTGGTCCCACCACACCAACCAGACCCCCAGCTCATGGAGCAAGCCCTTTCCCTGAAGCTCCTAAATCCCAGCACCCGCCGGCTCCCCAGGACCACGCACAGGTTGATGACGGGCACAACTCACAGCAGAAACACGCTGGTGATCGCCAGGGCGAGCCACCCACCACCATAAGGCCACCAACATCTCCCTGGGCAGGCAGGCAAAGCATCGCACCCACGGCCGAGGGTGCACGCGGATCGTTAGAGCTGACAGCGCATAATCACCGGATTAATTAACGACCAGTGCTGGGAGGTGGTGGCCCTGTATTGCGTTTTCGGTAGTTGCAGGAGACGCGAGCCACCCGGCTCACAACCCTCACCCCTCCCACCCCCCCAAGCCCACGCTCCTCTCCCAAAGCCCCGCCGGCTCTCGGACACCCACCTGCCCCCGCACCGGGGCTGTGGGGTTTGCAAACCCGGCCACCACCCCCATGGGAGCCCCCCCCCCCCAAAGGGGAGCGGGCAGGGGCCACGGCTGCAGGGGAAACCGAGGCAGGGGAGGTGCCGAAGCCGGGCTCCTCTGCCAGGAGGACAGATCTTAGGGCACCGTCACACACGCACAACATCTTCTCTCCCCTGCGGACGGAGGAATCTTCTTTTCCTGGGAAAACACAGCAAAGAGGCCTCTGAGAGGTTTGCCATCAGCCCCTCGGCACCGCTGGCGCCAAGCGAGCTGTACCCCCAGGGCCAGCCCCGTCCTCGTCCCCGGGGCACCCCGCTCCCGCAGGCACCGCACGGCACAGCCGGCAGCAGAGCTGCCCCAAGACCCCTCACCGCTGCCACCTCTGAGGGAGAAAATGCAGTTCCCACCGCTGGAAACATCTGGGACGGGGTGGGGGGGAGCGGGGTGACGTTCCCAATGCTCTGCTACGGCGGCGGGTGCGCAGCAGCCCCCCCCCCCCCCCGGGGAGGTTTGGTCCTGCCCCCGCCAAACGGGGTGCGGGCAGTTAAAAACCCCAAGGGGCTCCCCAGCATTGTCAGATGACTAAAACAAATCCATGTATGTGTATATCTTTATATATACAGCATATAAATATATATACACACACATACCGTATATACACACACAGGCACACCTAGAGTTCTCCGTATATAAATAAATATATGTCGGTGGGAGACAGGATACATTCAGCAGCACTGAGCCCCCCCCGCCCTGCTCTGGCCTGCCCCAATACAAACCAGTTGGCTTTGGTTTTGCCCCACCCTGGCAGGCAGAGCTGCTCCGGTCTGCCTGGTCCCCCCCCGACCCCTTGGCCCCCCCTTCACTCCACCATCACACCTCGCCCTTTTTCCGGGCTGGATGAGACCCTCAGGGAGGGAAATTCAAAGCCACAGCACCACCGAGCCCGAGCGACGGAGCAAAGGGGGACACTGGTGCCCCCTCGCTGGGACTCTCCGGCCTCGGGGAGCAGAAAACCAGTGGGAACGAGTGTTCCTGGGGGTCCCGCTCGGGGTAGGGAGTGGGGCCGCGGCCAGGGGGGCTCACACTCGCCCCACAGCACACAGGCCCGGCCGGGCTGCTCCGCCGCCCTTCAAATGCTTCTCTGTGCAGAAAAAAAAAGTGATAGTAATAAATTGAAAGTCGACAGATTTTAATTTTTTTTTTGCACAAAGACTTCTTTTTTTCTTTTTTTTTTTTTTTCCTTCCCTCTTTTTTTTTTTTTTTTTTTTTTTTTTTTTCCCCTCTTTTTCCCCCTCCGTTCCGGTCGGTTTGGTTTTCTCCTTTTCCCCTGCACTTGGTTTTGGTTTTGTTTCATTCCCAGGCGTGGCGAAGAGCATGCATTGGAGAGGGGCAGGGCGGCAGCGGGGCGGGAGGGAGGGAGCTGAGGCAGGGCGGGAGGAGGCAGCTTCTAGCACTTGTCGTCTTCCTCGGTGTCGCTGAGCACGTCGATGCTGGCCCCGCACATCACGCCCTGCCCTGCCCCTCGCCTCCGCCGCCGGTAGTGCCCGTTGGGCATCTGCCAGCTGTGCCGCAGCGGCGGGGCCGAGCCGATGGTGTTGGAGCGGCCGAGGCTGGTGGCGACGGCCGCCTCGAAGGTGAGCGTTTCCTCCTCACCGCAGTCTGAGGCGTGCGAGTCGTCGTGCAGGGCCAGGTACGGCTCCGAGATGTAACGCTGAGGGGTGGACTGTCGGCTCTGCTTCCCCGCCGGGGAGCTGGAAGACTCGGTCAGGCCGGCGGCGTTGGGCTCCAGGGTGGAGGAGAGGAGCGGGGAGCCCCCCTCGCTCTCCTCGGGGGGCGGCGAGGCGTCTCCGGTGTGCCGCAGCATGGAGGCGTAGGAAAGGAGGGGACGCGGCTTGGGGGGCACCGGCGGGAGCTGGCGGCGGCCTCGCCGGGGGGTGCTGGTGTCCGAGATGGAGGGGATGGAGCTTTCGCTCAGGGAGCCCGTTCCCTGCAACACACCAAGCCACGCTGGGGGATACAGGGGTGACGGGCAGCGCCGTGCACCCACTTCCCCCCCCACGCACACCTTGAGCCTGGGCTCCCCCCGGAGCACCCGCCCGTTTGGATGAAGCCCCGCTGCACCCTCGCCTGCCCCATCCCTGCCTCGGAGCCTGCTCCGAGGAGGAGGACGGTGTCTGCTTTTGGTGGTCAAAAGCAAAAAGCGCTCGCGAACCCGCTGCGGGAAGGGAAGGGCGAAGAGCTGGCTGGTCTCTATGGGCAGCACCTCCACGGGCTTCAAGCACTGGCACCTCCAGGCTTGTGCAGCTTGGGACGCCTCCACCTTGGCAGGGAGCAGATGCCACAGCGGTGAGAGGGTCAGGGCGGAGATCCAACCCTCTCCCCAAATGCTCTGCAGGGTGCCCGAGCAGCCCCAACCTGCTCCGCTCACAGGGGACGCAGAGATGCCACCACGGGAGGAGAGACGGCGCAGAGCTCCCAGGCTCGGGGTTTATCTTCCCGGTTTCAGCCAGGAGTTTTTTCTACGCCTCCCTTCGTGCTTAGGAAGGGGTTTTTGTCACCCACCTGCCTATTGGGTGTCTGCGACCTGCCCTCGCTGGGTGACCGGGACTCGCGCCGCCGCTCCGGCGACTCGTCGTGCGCCTGGGGACTCCTCTCCTCCGAGTTGCAGCGGGAGATATCGGGGGACAGCAAGTGCTTGCGCTCTTTGGATCGGCCCCGCTCCCTGCCGCCCGAGCGATGCCCGTCGGACCGGTGGCCTGCAGGACATCCCCGTCAGTGCCCATCGTCCCCTCTCCAGAAGCAGGGGACACCCGGGGCGGGGGGGGGGGAGGAGGGGGAGGGAGGGATTTTTTGGCATCGACGTGGAATGGGGCCGCTCGCCCTTGCTCACCCGAGTCGGCGTTGAGGCGCCGGGCGGAGAGCTGGAGCGAGGAGTGGTAGCTGCGCCGGCGGGACTTGTAGGTGTTGTCGCTGCTGCGCTCCATGGAGAATTCATCCAGCCAGGAGCTGTTGCTGCGCTTGTCCCGGATGGTGGAAAACGATCGCCGCATCGAGCTGGTGTCCGTCACCACCTGCAAGCAACCCCGGCCGGCCGGGGAGGGGGTTAGCGCCGGGCAGGGCTTGGAGGGGGGTGGCGGTCGAACAATTACCGGTTCACTCGCTGTCTCTGGCACACCAGCCTCCGGGATGGGGAGGTTTGGGGGGCCGGGGGGTAGCCAGCCTGAGCACAGCCCCCCACCCCCCAATCATCCCTGCACAAATCGGGGAGTGGGAGGAAAAGTGGGGGTTTAGGTTGTGAGCTCCCCTGCCCCAGCTGGCTGGGAACTGCGCTCCGCAAGCAAAGCCAGCGGCTGTGAGTGAAGCCAAGGGGCTGCGTGTTGGGGGAAAAGCAGCAGCACGCCGTCCCGGGCGTGGGGACACGGGGGGGGACCAGACCATTGCCCCCCCAGGCTGCCTCAGCATCCCTCCCGGCCTCAGAAACAGAACTGAGTGGAGCAAACAGAGACATCAAAGAAGAAATCATTGAGAGAGGGGGGATCCTCCAGTGCCCCTCGCCTGGTGTTTATTTTCCTGGCTGCTGTCACTTTCCCAGTGGCAGCACCAGTTCTCCTTGGTCCTCCTTTCTTCCCACATCCCTTGCCCTGCATTCATTCCCTCTCTCCCCAGCCATGCTGCTGTTTTATAGTCCCTCTCCTTTCCTTTCTCTGTCCCATGCTTCTCCTTTCTACCTTCTCCCCTCCTTCCAGCTTGTGTTCTCACATGTTTTGTGGAAAACATCACCTCCTATGATTTCCTTTTCTTTATTCTAGCAGTTTTTTGCCTCTGCAGCCCCGGGCCATTCTCCCTGTCTCCTTTACTCTCACTGTACCCTTCCCACTCCCACCCCTCTCTTTCTGATCATCTCCCCTGCAGCCAAATGGTCAATAAAGCCCACAAGGCAGAGCCTCCCTCCCTCTTCACGCCCCACCAAAGAGCCATGATGTGTCACACCAGCACCGACACCAGGACCTCTGTGAGAAAGCAGACCCAGAGACTTCACAGCAAAACCAAACCCCACTGACACATCTGTGTCTCAGTGGAGGCTGAGTACAAGACAGAACAACAGAGAAACCGGGCAGACAAACAAGGAGGTGAGATGTGGCCTGAGTTCCCCTGGACAGACGGAGAAGCGTGTGCGTTGGGACAACAGGAAAGGAAGGAAAAGGCGTATCATCACCTGGGAGATCATCTGACAGCTGGGCTGGGAGTACTCGAACCTCAGCCAGCAGCCAGGCTGGAGGTAAAGGAGGGGTGTCCCACTCCGTGGGGACCCTGCAACCTCCCAGTGTGTCCCTGCTCCACTGTGGACCTCCCACACGAGCCAGGAGATCGATTCCCCTGGCTGCTCTCTGCGGCCAGTGTCCCCCACGGAGGAGAACAGCAGCTCTCCTACTTGTGCAGCACCCCAAAGACAGCGAGATGCCCCGATATCGGGGTGCTGGGGAAGCCGTGGGGCTCGCAGGACTTGCTCAGCGCGGAGAGAAGCCCCAGTGTTACCTGGTAGGCTTTGCTTGGACCCGGCACCCGTGGGGGCTTTGCTTGGTTTTACCTGGGGATCCACAGTGAGACGAGGCATGGAGGAGGCCCTCCCAGAGACAGCGTGGTCCTGAGTGTCCACGGGAAGGTAGCTGCCACGGTTAGAGGGCTGCACTCTTTGAAACTCCCTAACCTCTGGCTCCTGGAAATAAACACACAGCCAAGCTCTTGGGATGGGGTTGGAGCAGGGCAGCGCGCTGCTTCTGCCCCGTGTGCAGGGGGGACAGCCCTGCTTGCTCAGCCGGGGCCAGAATTTAAGTGGGCCAAAAAAGGGGAGGCTGAGACCTATCATCCGTCACGTCGCCACTGAAAAATAATCTCTGATTCGCAGTCCATTGCAGGTGAGCCCAGATGTGGTACTCCAGGTTTGCCTGATGGCCAATTCATCTTGCACCTCTTCAGTGGCAGGGGAAATCCTGCCTTGATCTGGTGATGCCCTCACTGCCTGGGCTTTGACTCCTTCTCCTTTTGCCAGAAGAGGATAAAAGTGTGGGATTCTCTCTCTGACCCTGCTTTAAAAGCTTTCTGGCCACATCCCCAATTAAAAGAAAGAATGCCACCCGTGGCACCTTTGCGCTGTGGTTAATTCCCAATTTAAGGGACTCTTGTGTACAGGACGTTGCGTCGAGGGGATGGGCAGGGAGTGACCCTGGAGATCTGCTAGAAGGTGACTTTATGGGGAGAGGGGAGTCTCATCTGTCACCTCCCCGCCATCAGGACGGTGGTGTGGCCAGGGTGGCAGGGGCAGGGGACACCCACCTGCGCGGTACACAGCTCACACAGAGTACTACAGACCCCGGGGACACGGACCGGGCTGGAGATGCACAGTGGTACAGCACTCCATCCGACAAGAGTCGGGGTGGTGCACGAATGCACACACACAGACACGCAGAGATATATATAGGAATGTATATATATATATACACACACAGACAGACAGACACTGCTGCTGCCGGCCGGCATGTGTGTGAGGCCGGAGGGGGGTGCTCCAGTTGGAGACAGTTTGACAGCTCGGTTTGGGATCGGGGACACCAGCACTGACAACAAAATGAACATGAATCTGAAAACATCAGATACCATCACTCAGCACGGGGTAACCCACTGAAATGAGCGCTCAGTGGAAAAAAGAGCAGCCTGTGAAGAGAAGGATATTTTACTGCAGGACATCGGACCCCCGTCAACAGCTCTCGCCCCAAAAACACTTGCCGCTGCCTGGCCCCATCGGCCAGGGCTGGTCCAGGCATGGCTGTGTCCCCAGTGCCCAGACAGAGGCGAGGGGCCAGAACCCCAGCTGGGGGACAAGCGGGGACGTTTGTCCCCTGCTTCAGATCCGTGCGTGACCCAGCAGGTGCCATCCCTCCGCTGTGCTCGGTGCCACAGGGGCAGGGAGCAGCGTTTCACCGCCGTGCCGTGCCGGCGGCCCTGCACCTCCCCGTGCCCACCAGCATCCTTGCTGGGACCGCAGGCGAGCTCCTGCCAGGCAGTGTGTGACTTTACCAGAGACTGGTGCTCCTGGAACTGCCCGTGGGCCGGATCCATGCACGCCAGCTGGAAGATCTCCTGCGGCGAGAGCGGGCTCAGCGAGGGGAACCCGCTTCGGCTGCTCCTGCAAAGACAGTCCAGCTTCAGGGAGGCCACAAGCCGGGTCCTGCCATCGCTGGGTATCACCTCTCCAGCAGCTCAGAGCTGGGGACCCCCCCCCGTGCTTGCCCCCCAGGCTGTTGAGACCCCCAGGACAAACATCGTGCTCCTCAGACAGCTGAAGCAGCGCCCAGGCAGGAGAGGACACCAGTGCCCCAAGTCCTGTGGCAGCACACCAAGTGTAGTGCCAGCAACTCCCACCATCTCATTCCCAACCAGTCAGGGTGCTGGGATCCCCCACTGACCCTGCAGCACCCAGGGACCCACTGCTCTCAAGGTTCAGGTCCATCCCAGACCGTCCTAGGTAGGAGAGCTTGCACTTAGTGCTGGGCTGGTCCTGCAGGAAGAGTGTTTGCTGAGACACCCGCCCATCCTCCTCAGCCACCTCTGCTGCTGTTGGTGATGCTGGTGCACACCAGCTACCTGGAATCCTGCAAAAGCTTTGTGCCGGGAGTTTTCTGCCCCAGACTGGGTTTCCCCTGGTCTCTGCAGCTCTTTAGCCCTCTGTGCATCCCAGTGCCAGCTCCAGAGAACAAAACAGGAACAGAAAACTGGCAGGACTACCTCCCTTCTCCTCAGAGGAACACTCACAGGCCTGAGAGCGTGTCTTGCTGGAGGTAAGGCAGAGCCTTCGCGTTCGAGATGATTTCCTGCGGCAAGGAGGACGGCTCCATGCGCTGAAACATGGGGGCGTTTTTCTGTATTGAGGAAAGGAAGAAGCTGAGCCTGTAGGAAATGCAGATGAACATCCAGTGCTTCACCAACCAAGTCCCTGCCACTTGGGAGGGTGACAGCATGCTCACGTTCACCACTGGGGGCTGAGGATGCATGTATGCGTGCCTTGTAGTCACCGAAGCCCAGCCGGTGCCACCATCCTCATCCCTCAGCTGCATCCCATGCAGCTTGGCTCCACGTTTGGTCAGGATGTGGTAGGAGGCAGGGAGGGTGATCTGAACTCCCCCGTTCCTGCCCACCACCTGCCCTCGCTGAGCCTCACCTGCTCCTCCAGCTGCTGCCGCTGCTTCTTCGCTTTGCTCTGCTTGTAGTAATCCATGATCATCATGGCTGCATATATTTTGCCAACAGTCAGGTCAGAGGCTGAGAGCATAAGAAGGGAAGGAAGGTGGGGGACACTTTTGTCTCAAAAGAAACAGCAGGTCTGAAGGCACCAGCATGGATCTCGGGAAGAGCCCTGCTGTGGGATGTCCCGGTGACCCTCAAAGTCTGCTCACCGCTCCAAAAGAGAGATGAACACCCAGACACCCCACGCGGAGATAAAATGGATGGAGATGGCTTGAAAGCATCATCATAAACCACCGAGACACACATCTTCATCACATCATCATACGTAACGGAGCAAGCAATGCTCAGCCTCCTGCCCTTACATGCTCCAGAGATGATTTACAGGAGACTTTGGGTTTGGCAGGAGTAGATCACTGCAAGCTGGGCATTTTTCAAGAGGGTTCCCAAGCACGCAGTCAGAGCAAGGCAGCAGCCAGCCTGTAGCAACACAAACCCTTTTCCCACTTCTCCCCCAGCTGGGGATGGGTCTGACCTGTCCCCACCTCCCTTTGGGAAGAAGCTGCTGCAAGTCCAATGGAAACTTGGCAGCGATGACAGCCACCCCCAGAGACTCACTTTTTGGCATGGGTACCAACAGGTCAAGCATCTTCTGAGAAAGGTGAGGCCAAATGGTCAGGATTTCCTTTTGAAGCTCAGAGTCTAACTGCTGCCAATCTGCACCACCTTGAATAGCAGGGGGGAGGGAAGAAATAGCCCATGTACATCAAAACCTGACACCGGAGTCCAACTAAAAACACCCCCTCCGCATCCTGAAGTGAGGTTCACGAGCAGCAACCAGCTCTCTCTGGGCTGGAAGGGTCATCTTGCATCAGCGAGCCTGGTCTCCTGCTCTTGCATGGAAACTTTCCTACCATCCCTTCCATATGTGCCTCCATCTCCCCATCCCCTGCCCTCCCACTCAAAGCTGCCATCTTCTAGATCGCCTTGGGTCCGTCTCTGCGGCTCCAATCCTACTCCAGCCCACACACACCTGCTGCTGCCCCACTTTCTTTTTTCTGGTGAGCAGATCATGTGCTGGTGAAAGAGCAGCTCCGCTTGGTTGAAATCCCGAAATACTCAGCGATGCTGTGCAAGGAGAACAGAGCTCTCTGGCCAAGTGGTGAAGGGGTTTGCTGGCTTAGAAAGACCCAGGCTCAAAGGGACCTGTCAACACGGACCAAGTGGGCACACCCGAGCCTGGAGCAACTCTGCTGAGCTGTAGGAGACCCAGGTTCACATCTCTGCTTTATCTAGAGAGGCTTGAACCCAAGGACCTGTTCTCAGTGCTGGGATTTTACTGATATCTTGCCCTGGGTTGGGTTTTCTTCCAATAGCCGAGCTGTTCCCAGGGGATGTTTTATTGAAAATGTCATGTTTCTGCAGAAAGCTTTTGATCTGATGTATCAGAACATTTCTAGCAACAACAACAAAGCAGATTTTCCTGCTCTGAACATATTATCTTCCCTGAAAAAAAGATTTCTGTTCCCTAGCCCTAGGCGGCCACGCACATGTGATCTTTTCCCTCCTTGGTTTGGTTTTGTACATGGGGAGGAAGGGGAATTCTCTGTCTCCTCCTTTACACAGTGGACATCAAGCTGTTTCAGCTCCCTAGAAGCAGATTTTAGTGGAAAACTGGGCACCTCTTCCCTAAAGAAATAGATTTTTTACAGAGATCAGCAGAAATTTGCCTGCTCAAGGTAATCACTTCCATCCACATGCCAGGGTCCGGGCAGCCAATACCAAATTGGCTGTGATATCCTTGGCCTGCCCAAAGGAGGAGTGCTGGTCACTCTGAAACCCTCCTGGCTCTGTCCCCTCTCTACCCCACCAACCTTACCTTTGGCAATTTTGATGTCCAAGGCTGTGCGTATCAGCGCCATCAAGGTGGAGGTAAAATGGACCGTCATGTCCTCGGCCACGGGCATGTTCATCAGCACCAGTCTCTGCGCAAGAGAGAGAAGAAAACAGCGGACGGAAAACAATATCGAAAAACACATCGACCGGGCTGGAGGAAAAGAAATTAAACATTAAACAAAAGGGAAAAAAAAAAAATCAAAAAATAAAAAGCAACAAAGAGTGTCAAAACAGCACAGCCAAAAAAGAAGGGCAAGGATCACCCCGCCACCCCCCCCCCGGCTCCTTCCACCCCAGGACACCGGCTCACTGCCTTCCAGGGCTCCTCCTGCACCCCAGGAACGGCCCCTGAGCCCCCCTCCCCACAGCACCGGGGCTGCCACGGCACCTCCTGGCACTTTTGGGAAGACACACCTGATCCATCAGGGATGCGGGCATGGGGAATGCTCGGGAAGGGGGGAAGGGGCTCAGGTTTCCGTTCCCGGGTGGTTTGGCTTTCCGGCTCTCAACCCTTCCCACCTGGGGCAGGGGAGAGGAGGGTCCCTAACCTTCAGGGACTTCAGATCAGCTGGATTCCTCTAGCATGCTACATCCTGGCGCTCCCTTTTTGCGTCTTTCAGAGATGAAGTTTGCCAGCACATGCACAGGGTCCAAATTATCCAAGGGTGGGGAAGGGAAGGAAGGGTAGAAAAAGTGCAGAAGGGAAGAGAGAAGGGCAACCAAGGCAGGTTAGACACGCCATGCTCCTTCCCCACCCCGGGCAGGCGGGATGCAAACTGAAGTGACCAGATCCACTCTCCAGAGAGTATATTTTGCTTTGTGAATACCTCGGGTCATCCCTTCCCTGCCCATTCCTTTTCACCTGGCTTCTCATGTCCTTTCCCTGCCTTCAAGCTTCCCTTTTTCTTCTGGAAAAATCTGACGGTGGATGTACGCATGTGTGAACAACTATGTAAGAGCTGGAGAGGGTGGCAGCACGTTTGCAAATGTGCAGAAATCCCCCCTTCACTAGCCCTGAGCGCTGCTGAAAGGGCTGCGGGCAGCAGCCCACAGCCAATAAAAGCTTCAGTTTGCTCCAGACCTGAGCAACACATTGCTCTGTAGCTCTGGGTCTTGTCCTAGCAGCTGCTGCCCTCAGAAAAGCCAAGCAGCTCCCACCACACATCCTTCAGGGCTTCCCGTGCTCCTGCTCCACGCCTGTGCAGCCGGGAGCGCGTCGTGCCTGTGCCAGGAGCCGGCCGCCGGCCCAGGAGGGACCCAGGGGTAAAACTCAGAGACGCCTTTTGAAGGCACCTGCCTTTGCCTTGCACAAGCCATCCTTGGGATGGCTCGGACTGATGCGCCTGGCTCCTCACACACCACAGAGCTGCTCCTTTGGGATATCTCCTTGCTGCCCACTTGCTTCCCGTCTCCGTGGGCTTTAGCCCTGTTTCTGTGCTGGCTGGGACAAGGATGGTTCCAAGCCCAGGGGACGGGCTTGGGTCAGTGAGGTCCTAAGGACACCTCACTCCCTAAGTGTGTTACGGAGTTGCTCCTCACCTTAACTTCTCCAGCCCTCCCGCTTCCACGCTATTGCTGATCCTGCCCCTCCTCTTCCACGGGGGTCTGCCACCCCAGAGCTCCCCAGGCTTGTGAGTGACCACGGCAGCGTCACGTGCGTGGGCAGTGGAGACCAGCCAGCATGGCCAGGACTCTTCTGAGCACACCAGGCTCCCCAGGAGCGAGCTAAACACATGTGGGATGCCCCCAATGCCTCCCCGGCTCCCCCCAGCCCCACCTCCCGCAGCTCCCTTGAGCCCCGGCTCCTGCTCAGCTCTAGCCCCCGTAGAAGGAAGGGTTGATCTACCTTATAGGCCACTTTGGAAGGACATCTCTTGCCGAGGCCTAGCGGTGGTGACATAAGAGTCAGCATTTCATACATCTCAGTGTAATGGATTCGGCCACTGCTCATGAAGGGGGAAGGGGAGGGAGGGAGATGCAGAGAGAGAGGAGGCATTCCCAGAGAGCAGAAAAAACGTACAAACAAAAATAGTACAGGAAAACAGGAGAGAAAAAAAACAAACGGACAAACAGGAAAAGAACAGGAAACCCGTTAATCAAGGCAAATCATACATGAGAGACTGTCCTGATGTGGATTTATAGCACTGCTCACACAGACCCAGGAATGCTGGCAGAAAGCAACTCACCCCTCTCCTCTCTGCTGCTGGCCTCAAGCGCCTGTCTCGCTAGCAGTCTGGGAGTCCTTCTCTGGTCTCAACCCCTTTCCTAAAGCCCTCCAGCAGCCCCCAACTTGTCCCACAGGTTCCAGGGCTGTGTGTGAGTGGTATAAATCAGATACACGGCACTCAAGCCATGGGTTATTTGAGATAACGGTGGTTTGCACCACAGTGCTCTGTGGCCTCCGTAGCGTCTTCCCTCCCGGGGGGGGGCCTGGGTATTGCTTTGCATCGCCACCTAACCCATAGCTGGAAGGCTGTGTATCCCCAGCTCATAAGGTCTATGCAATTGGGAGGCAGCATCTTGCATAGAAGGCAGTGGGCCAGGGTCACTTGTCAAAGGAAGATGCCCAGTTGCTTCCGTCTGGCTCTGCGGATGGACCACTTTCCCACCATGCACCAGTGCAAAAGGCATGCTGAATTGGCTGAAAAAACAAAACCGGGAGGAAAAGTTGTACATGCCATGCTCCCGCCCTGGCTCTCTCCCACATGCGGCTGCAAGTTCCACCAGGTTGGAGTTTAAAGAGTCTCAGCAGAGGCAGCTGTTTGGGCCTTCCAACATTGGGGTTCGTTTGGGTTTCCCAAGGGAGGCAGCTAGGACGGACCCCCACCTCATGCTCCTCTGCTCTGTAAGGACCTGCCTAAGATTGTTGCAGTGAGGAACGCTACCAAAAACGGGCCACCCGATGACGCCTTGAGCCCTCTGCCAGGCTGAGATATCTGGGCTGCGTCCCCCTCTCTCTGCACATCCAGGAGGCCGCTGAAGTAGGGGGGATCCTGGGCTCGGCCACCTCTTCTTCCCTTCGTGCCAGGCTTCTATCCTGCACTTCAACACTCAGGACAAGGGCAACCTCACAGCAGCAAAGGCATGGACCCTTACAGCTGGGCTGAGAGGATGCTGCTGGAGAGGAACCCCTCTTAGCCTGGGTGGCCTTGGAAAGAGGGCACGGCTGAAAAATTAAGCCCTCCCCATGGCATCGTGGCCCCTTCCCTACCCATGTGCTCAAAGCAGCATGGAAAGGGGAGAAGATATCTCCTCAGGGGGTACCACTGGTTTGGAAGCAGTCGCCTGGCCAAAGAGGTCCCCACCAAGACAAGTCCTGACATCTCAGATATGAACTAGAGATGGTGATGAATGGCAACGGGAGCTGTTTGGGATGCAGAAGAGGCTGGGCAAGCCATCACCTTTGAGACCTGACACATCTAAATCAGCTGGAAAGAGGATTGATATCAAACACTGGGGACTATTAAGTGGGATGACCAAGAGGAAATATCCAAGTCGAGGAGTTCGTAAGCAGAGTTTTGGCAGAGCTGGATCTGCACTGACTTGAGGTGTCCAAAGGGGAGAAGACGACTTCAAAATGTTCATGCTCAAGAACTTTGTGCAAAGGGGAAGCAAGACGGTGATCTTCCACCCACCCTTCCTGGCAGGGGGGATTTTAGTGTACTCAGCACGCATTGGACACTGTCCTTTGTACTGAGATTCCCCGCACAATGAAGGAGGAATAGATTCCCATGAAAGGAAGAGTTTGCATCAGTAACCAAGAAGGACCATACGAGAACTGTGTTGCACGCTTTTCTGCTTCTCAGAGCAGACTTCTTAAAGCTTTTTGAGCAGCACAGCAGTATCCAGAAACCACATCCCCACAGAGTGAAACACAGGCAGGTACATGGAACGACACCCATCTGAACGTGATGGCTCCCAAGAACTGGTCCAAGCACAGGCACATCCTTGGTGGCAGAGCTGACCATCTGTCCTGTGCCTGGACAGAGACATAACCAGTGGCTACGGCACAGGGTGGCCTGTAAAATCACCAGGCACTAATGGCTCAGTCCTGGTACTCTGAGAACACCCTGTGAGTGACGGAGGAGGAAATCTGGGGGACATATGTCCTCCTGTGGTTAGAAAATAAGTACTGTGTCATACCAGGCTGTAAGGAATAGAGCACCAGAATAGCAAGTGATGTGAGAGTAGATTCAGGAATAGGTGAAGTCCACAGGGACATAAATGTCTGTGGAGCATTCACCTGACCCATGACCATCTCAAGGGCTACTTTTAGGGGGAAAAAGTGATGTCTTGGTTCACCTTTGCATGACTGCTAGAAGCAGAGGGGGTGAAGAAAGGCAGAGATAGCCCCAAGGAGTGGAGCAGGCTGCCAGAATACATTCCCAGCAAGATGTGGGTACGAGACCTGCTCTTCCTAGCGTAAGGACAGAGCTTGCTGGACTTCCATGGAAAGTCTTCCTGCATCAATCCCCCTTTGTTAGCCCACCTGCGGATGGCCTAGCGGGTAGGCTCCCATACCATGCTGCACCACTACGCTTCATCCTGAACTTGCCCAAGAACCGTCTCTTCCAGAGCAGGCTGTCCACCACTCCATAGCGACGCTGGTGGTTGTTTCTGCAAGTCATCATTGTCACATCGCCTGGCAGGACAGGCCTGTGGGCTCCAAGAAGGTGAACCTGTGCACTGTGATGTGCAGGGCAGGCTCACCAAACTGAAAGATGAGCAAACTGAGTTGGCATTTGGGGATCTGGACCATGGTGGCAAGATGCAATGACCGCGTGGGCTTTCTTTCTTCATCAGTTGCTTTGGGGAATTGTTCCAGGACAGTAGGAATCCCTGAAAATCTCCCACATCATTGAGATACCCCCCTGCGCAGGGAGGAGGAGACCAAGGTAACACAAGGAAGAGATGAGGATGGTCTCCCTCACATGACAGCAGAAGCCAGTCTCACTCTTTCTGCCTCCACCTCCCCTTGAGTTTATCCAACTTCACTGCTCTGTCCATCCCACAGGGTCAGCTGAAAGCCCAGACTGCTGCAGAAATCCCTCTTCCCAGGAAGCATTACAGGTATCCTTCTGATCACCAGGTGATCCAGCTTAGGAGGGCAGCGTTTGCCAGTGAAGCCCTAATATCAGGCAAGACTAGAAATTCCTCCTGAAGGTGTCTTCTGTCTGCAGGGACCTGAGCAAGTGTCCTCATCAAAGCCACCATCCTTTGCCAGGGGTGCAACAGAAGCGTGGAAAATATGCAAGGAGCCCGTCCTTGAATAGATGAGGAGTCACCTGAGATTCTTGCAAGGTATCTCCTATCTCTAAATACCTCTTCATAAACGAGATGACCAAGCATCCAGGTTTTGCCTTGCTTGCTCTGCTTTACTTTTGGTGGTTTACTTCAAGATTTCAAATGTGTGTGCATCATCCCCATGACCAGTTGTGGAAGGTGACAGACTCATTCCAGGGATGCTGGCTGAAAGACGCATTTCCGATGTGGCGAGAAGGATGTGGTAGCTACACCATGCCACACTAAGGAATCTTCTTCCTCTGCAGAGCCAAGATCAAGGGCCAGAGGCATCTGAGTTTCCCTTGTACATCTCCTCGGGTGCTGCAAGGGATGCAGAGCAAAGAGTAATCTCTGCAGTTCATCCTTTCATGCCACGGACACAGACATAGGCATCGTGGCACTTTGGAGAAGGTGGCAGGCACAGGGTTTTGTTCAACTGTCACCCCAAAATAAAATTTAAAAAAACCCATGCAAGTCAGAAAGACACAAGGAGGCCAAATCACTGCCGTGGACTCACAGCCAGCAGCTGGGAGCTTGGCTCAAGAAGAGGCAGAGAAGCTGTTTCGCTCCAGAGATACGCCCAGCTGACACCACCTCCCAAGCTAAGGGCAAGACCAGCAAGTGTCCTGCTCCCCAGAGATGTGGTCATGGGTCCTCCAAGTGCCACACTTGAGGAAGAATCTGTTGGGTACAGCACGGCATCCCCTCGGGGAGAGGGGTCACCCTGGCCTCCCCATCCTCCCCCTAGTCCTCGTTCTCCAAAACAACAGCAAAGTCCTCAACATCCTCCCGCCTTTGCTCCCTGCTTCCCTCCCCAGGAGCAAACCACATCTAAGCTCCCCCCAAAAAACTCCTGCTCCTGCATGAGGGCACTTTGAGAAACCAAGCAGGGATGGTAGCATTTGGCCCATCGCCCTTTGGGGCCTCTGCACCGACAGAGCTGGCGTGGGGGGCAGGGGGCAGCTGGCTGAGGGACGCAATTTGTCAAAACCCACCCCGGGAGGCTCTGAGCCCCCCTGGCCCCACTCATGCCTTCCCTCGAGGGGGACAGCTGCTGGCTCTGGGAGGCCGCAGACCTCTTTAAACTCGAAGGAAAGCAACGTCAGGGTTCCCTCGGGAGGCGCGGTGGCGGTGGAGCGGGGGGGAAGAAGGGGTGGATGGTGCGTCCCGTGGCCAGGTTGTGGCGGAGGACTGGGAGGCAAACCTTGCACGCCACCCTGTAGGGGCAGTTCTCTCCTAGGCCCAGAGGAGGCGAGATCACCCGTACTAATTTGTACATATCCTTATACGAGATCCTGCCGCTGCAAAGGAAGCACAGGTGGGTTAATAGGACACTGAGAGGGTGGAGGGGAGGATGGAGAGCTTAACCGGGGGATGCTGGGGCCATCTGTGGGGCAAGACCCCCTGAGGGGGTGCACGGCTCTTCTCCTGGCTCTGTCAGATCCAGAGAGGGGAAAGCTGTGAGCATCAGCTACTGCCTTCTCCACCATGAGTCAGCTCATACCTCCTCACACTGACCCATCTTGACCCTGGAGGACAGTTTTGGTGGTGAACACCACCCCATCACCTTTCCTCGTTGTGGCCCTGGCCACCTACATCTGGTGGGAGAGGGCTGGGATTTAAACAGGGTGAGCCTGCAGCTTGGTTGGGTTCTAGCCATCACGTGTCCCTTTGATGGACTTCTGTCCCATCACACCATCAGAGAGCCTGCCCTCACACGGCCAACCCCCTGGTCCTCCAAGGTCCCAGGGAGGTTGGCAGCTGAGTCACTTGTATCTCCAATATCTGGGGAACCTGAGATGGGGAGAGATAATGTGTCCAGCTGGTGACTGGTGGCTGTGGCACTAGTGCCTAGGTCTCCCGCGGTCCAGTCCTGTGCTCCGACCACCAGGCCACGCTCTGCCAAGGGTACACATTATTAGAAGCAAACCCATCCATACACACACCCCTTCTCGCCCACAGAAGCACATCTCCCCAGACCCAGGTGCAGTCATCGCAGGATACGGCCCGTATCCCTCCTACACCAGCTGAAATAACAAAGCAGTCGAGGCGGAGAGCTGGCAGGAGAGGGTACAGGGGCCATTGGATGCTGAGCTCCCCACTCCACTCCAGACCAGAGCCCTTTGGGAAGCAGGACCATGTGGGGTGGAAGTGCTGAGGTGCAGCGTGCTGCAGCCTCCTGGGCATCCTTAGACAAGCTTGGAGGGAAACCACGCAGGGGGGCAAAGAACAGCATTACCGTTCTACCTGACGCCTTTGCCTCTGGTTTCCCCTTGCTCTTCTCCCATCCCTTCTCCATCCCTGGCCAGAGCTAACCCAATCATCTGGGCAAAACCCATCCCTAAGCCCCTCCGGTTTTGAGCAGTCTCCCGGCAAGACTTTCATGTGATGGTCCCAGTGTCAGGATGCAGAACTGCTGCCCCACTCAGGTGGTGGGAGTGGGACCCATTCAGATGTACTCACCCGTTCCTCACCCAGCAACGGGGGCCAGGGCTTCCACCCGCGGTCCCAGCACCACCAGCTCCTGCACATGTCCCCTAACCACTGGCTAAATATCATGACGAAAGAGTGTGGCTTGCTCAGAAATCAGAGGGGTACATGGCATTGATAGGACAGTTCGGGCATGCTTTTTCAGTGACTGTCCTGGAGACCCAGGTCACCAACATGGGGGGCGAGAGTGAATGAAGCGCCTGGTCTGAAGAAATCCTTCCCAAAAGCCATGGGTGAGTAGCCCCACACCAAGCAGCTGGATGTTTCACTGCTCTCACCTTCTCTCCTTTCTCTAGTGGTCCTCCAGGACATCTACTCACCCATACTGACCTCTCCCTCTTGCACAAGGCACAGTCACCCACTAACAAGCAAACCCACCTGCCCACGGGGACCTTGCACAACAGCAAAAATTCTGGAGGAGGCCACACAGGGAGGAACCTGACCAGCACTGTGCTGCACAGGGTTGGACAGAAATGGTGGAGGAAACTATGCCAGGAGATGATGGTTATAGAATCATAGACTGGTTGGGGTTGGAAGGGACCTTAAAGACCATCTAGTTCCAACCGCCCTGCCATGGGCAGGGACACCTTCCACCAGCCCAGGGTGCTCAAATCTCCATTCAACCTGGCCTTGAACCCTTCCAGGGAGAGGGCAGCCACAGCTTCTCTGGGCACCCTGGGCCAGTGCCTCAGCACCCCCACAGTAAAGAATTTCTTCCTTATGTCTGATCTAAATCTCCCTCTTTCAGTTTAAAACCATTACCCCTCATCCTATCCCCATACCCCCTGATAGAGTCCCTCCCCACCTCTCCTGTCCCCCCTTTAAGCCCTGGGAGGCTGCTCGAAGGTCCCCCCGGAGCCTTCTCTTCTCCAGGCTGAACCCCCCCAACTCTCTCAGCCCGGCCTCCCAGGGGAGCTGCTCCAGCCCCCCCAGCATCTCCGTGGCCTCCTCTGGCCCCGCTCGAGCAGCTCCGGGTCCTTCTGCTGTTGGGGGCCCCCGAGCTGGGCCCAGCACTGCAGGGGGGTCTCATGAGAGCAGAGGGGGAGAATCCCCTCCCTCGACCTGCTGGCCACACTTTGCTTGGTGCAGGTGGTCTCTCAAGGGGCAGGACATTAGCAGTGGAGGTGAAGAGTCTCCAAAGGGAACACATGTGGCTGCCAAGGGCTCTCGAACTAAGATTGCCCATGGTCTCCAGCACAGCAGTGGTGGGTCATAGTTCTAAAGAGGCTTCGCTGAGCTGGGGAAGGAAGGAAGGAAGGGGCCACACAAGACACCCTCATAGTGCCAGGGCTGAGTGGAGGGCAAACATGCTCCCAGAGCTGCCCCAGAACACCCTGGGAGGAACAGCGGAGAGCAGCTCTTCTGCTGCAGCAGCGGGAGCAGAGCCAAGGCCCGGCCACCCGGAGTACGTACGGTCGCTGTGAACCTGTCCCATTGCCAGGAACAGGCTGCCGCCTGCAAACAGGAGCCCTGCTCGCTGGGGCCCTCATCAGCCAAGGTGTGAATGTGGGAAACAAAGTCCTCCTGTCTCTGGAGGGGTGAACAGGCTGGCCAGCATAAGAACACAATTCCCCCAAATCCATCCAAGTCCTCCGTAGGTGGCTTGGCAGGAGCCCAGCAGGCCCCCAGCATCTCCCCATTGCTGGGAACAAGCCATACTCTGCCCGGCTCTGACGGGGAGCTGTGGGTGCTGGTGACCAGGCGATGAAGCCGGTCATGGTGCATGGGTCCAGCTGGTGCATGGGGACAGGGAAGGAGCCCGAGAGGGACCTGCCCACTGACCGGGGAGGAGAGGAAGAGCAGGAACCTCCAGCACTCAGGATAAACACCGTAGCAAACCACGAACATCGCCCAATGCACCTGTGACACCAGGCGTTGTAGGAACCGGCTGCTGCCCTTGTAACAAGTGCAAGCAAGAGCAGCCCTTCCCTGACCATCCCAGGCGTCACAGCCAGCTTCCAATAGCAGAAAACAGAGATGCCTGTTTAAAACCAGCTCTGAGAGGTTGCTCAGGAGAGAAGGAGGTGGCTACATACCACGCAGCTCTGTCATACTCTGCCCAGATGCGGACAAACTCATCTAGATGGTGGGGTCCCAGGATGGAGGAATCCCGAGTCAGGTATTCAAAATTGTCCATGATGACGGCCACGAACAAATTGAGCATCTAAGTGAAAGGAAAAAAAAGCAGAGAGAAAGGGAAGTAGGGAAGAGAGGGAGCAGAGATGACCCTCTGGCGGGGGTGCAGGTTGGGGAGCTGATGCGAGGAACGCCCAAAGGCTCTCAGGGAGGAAGAACTCACCAGGAAAGAGCAGAAGAAGATGAAGGAGACAAAATAAACATAGGCCAGGTCAGTGCCGCAGCGCTCGTTCTCGTTCTGCCCAGACGTCGCCGTTGTGTCCGGCTCGCAGCCTTTGCCCTCCAGGCAGGACAACATGATCTCCTGCCATGCCTCTCCCGTGGCACTCCTGCGCCCAACACAGCCGTGCTCAGCAGCTTGTGGGGGCACAGGATGGAGCTGGGGCTGGATGCCCTCAGGAGAAACCTCACCAGAAACTGTGCAACCCCCTGCCCACATTAAATACATCTCCAGCGTGCAGAGGAGCGAGGCACTGGGTCAGCACTGGACCCACACGAGCGCAGCCATGCCAGGGTGTAGCGCCTGGCACACGGAGCCAACTCCCCTCAGCCAGCTGATCCAAAAAGCTGGGAGACAGACATCCTTTTTTTGGGGCAGGGTGGGGGGGAAAAAAAGGGGTTCTTGAGCTCCTGTGGTACTGTGTTGCCCAGCTGCTCTCTAGCACCAAAAGCTGACCTCCACCAAATATCCTGCAGTGAGAAACTGCCCAGCCTGGCTCCAGGCATGCCTGCGCCCAGAAATGCTGCCAAATGAGTTTTCTGTGGTTGCTTACCTGAAGAGGAGCATGAGGGAGCCCAGGAAGCTGCGGAAGTTGTTGTGCCGGTTAATGTGGCTTTCCTCATCTAGTTTGATATTGCCAAAAACCTACGGGAGGGAGAAAAAGGGCTTGGTTATTCAGGCAAGAGCTCGGCGGCTGGGGAAGTGGCTGCATGTTCACTTTGGCTCACGGGCACGTACCCCTGTGCTTCAGGGACTGACCCTGCCCCTGTTCTGTCACCCTCAGAGCAGCCAATCCCGAAAGCAGCCAACACCCACCCTCCCTGCACAATCCCCCGTGGAAAAGCATCCCAGCATGCAGCCAGCACACCGAGGAGCTGGTGTGGAGCAGCTCTCGGGGAAGGAGACTCTCCTCTCTTCAACAGGGATTTGCGGTGGGCGGCAAAGGCTGCGAGAGGCCGAGCTGCCATGGAAACAGGAGCACAGAGGACCTGGGATCAACCGAGTCCAACCGCTCCACATCCACCCCTCCGCTGTGCTACAGGCAGCATCCGAGCACTGCGCGGTCCTGAGCGCGCTGGAGACGCAGGGACGAGTCGCATCACCCCCGGGTGGGTGCTGGGTCACGGTCCTGGAAACTCCTGGAAGCTTTTCCCTTGGTGGGGAAACAGTTCCGTGATGCTGGGGTTGGGCACAGTGGTGCAAAGAGGGTAGGGAAGGGCTCAGTGAGGGAGGGACAGACTGACTGCTGACCCACCGTGGACAGCCAGGCACCTGGACTACTGTTCCCCAGGGCCAAAACAGGCCATGAAGCCCCAGACATGGACAATATCCTAATAATGACCCACAGCCAAGGCCGTGGTAGGACATAATGAATGTTCATGAAGTGCCTCAAATAGGAAAAATGTGCTGTTATTACTGTTAAATATTTATTCCACTTTCCATGAACCTAAAAATACACTAACTGCGGAGTATTTTTTTCCCTGTACAGGTTTTTTGGAATGTGTAATTGTAGAATATTTTCTGCCTCCAGCTATTTTGCTCAAATAACGCCCACAGACTTTACTGCTTGGGGATTTGTTCACAATGGTGTTAAAAAAAAAATAAAATAAAAATCAAATACTACCACACGGCAGGGAGGGGGGCTGAGTCAGATGGTGGTTGTTTAGCACGGAGAACACCTGGAGCCAGTGCCGAGATGTGTAGGACAGAGCAGCCAAAACCAGTCATGGGACTCTCGGGGCGGGAGAGAGGGGGTGGAAGAGACTAAACACCAGTGCTGCCAAGCAGCCCGGGTGGGGGACCTCTGCGCTGCCCGCTGCCTCCCCAAAATCTGCCTGTCCTGGGTACTGCGGCAGCTCGCTCATTGGGCAGCTCCAGATCCTGAGCGTTCATCATCAAAGATGCTTTGTCAGATCTTCAGCGTGGGATTTAGTCATCGCAGAACCGAGCCAGCCCCGCAGCACGTGTGGGGATGAAGGTTTTAGCTCACGTCCTTCTCATTTACCAGCCGGAGCCTGGAAAGCTCACATCTTCCCATGCTCTGCGAGGCCTCCCACCACCCAGCAGGCCACTGCAGAGCCCTAAGCACGAGAGCCCAAGCAGACCAGCATTGCTGATGCCACAACAGACACCATCCGCAGAGGGACAAGGTGGACGGCGGGCTGCAGGGATCACCACCGTGATGCAGCCATTCCAATGGGCAAGGCAGAAGGCTGCTCACCAGGTCCCTCAGGCATGAAATCCATCTCTGGGGGCTGCTAGGGAGTTGGAGATAGGGTGCAATTTCTAAACAAAAGGGGTGGCAATTTGAAAGCTGCACAGAATGCCCAGCTGAGTCCCCAGGGCCACATCTCCATGGGTACAAATTGGGAAGGCAGCTGCGGAGCTTAGCTGAAAAAGCCTGTGACAGCTCCCCCGGGGCATGTGGCTCTGCAGCTCCCAAACAAGCTCCTTCTACCCTCAGGACCTTCCTGGACACCGTGACCAAGTGAAGCAATGACTGGCAGGTACAAGGCTGGCTACTGTGCACAATGCTGAGGACACGTTGGTCCAGCCTGTCCACGCCAGAAGGATGCACACTGAGATACCTGTGCTCACCTGCATCCCAATGATCGCGTAGATGAAGAAAAGCATGGCGATCAAGAGGCAGACATAGGGGAGGGCCTGAAAGAGAAGCAGGTGAGTCATCTCATTTAGCACAGGTCCAGCTCCAGAGGAGCACAAAAAGCACAGCGAGCGGGTAAGCTGTGCCGATACGTCTCTCCTACAAGCCAATGAGTCAGCAAGACCTTGGGAACGGCCTGCATTTGGGAGCAGCACCCCAGCACCGTGGCCTGGGAGGAGACCAGGGCACATATGACTTACCTTGAAGGACTGCACGAATGTCCAGAGCAGGATGCGGATGGTGTAACCCTGGCGCAGCAGCTTGATGAGCCGAGCAGCCCGGAAAAGCTTCAGAAAGCTCATGTTGAAGCTGCTGGTGTTCACAAGCTGGGAGGAGAGGAGAGGGTCAGAGGGAGGCAGGAGCCCCCCCCACCCCACAGCGGTTTGCCCTGCTGCTCTCAGCCCCTGCTTCACCTTGGTGTCTGTCAGGATGATCTCTGTAATGCTGCCAATGACAGTGATGAAGTCAAAGATGTTCCAGGTGTCCCGGAAATAATTCTGCAAAAGGAAGGAGAGAGGGAACACGGATTTGAGCTCGGGGATGGCAGGTCTGAGGGGAGCTGGGCCACGGGCCAAAGCTGCTCATGGACAACGGCAGAAGAGACCTTGTCACCCATTTGTATGCAGCCATGGTCTGAAGCACCGTCCTACGTCTGAGATGCTGACAGACCTGAGCATGTCTGCAGCAAGCAGCTTCTCTGGGAAGAAGATGAGTCACGCATCCAACAGGCCACCTTGGTGAACAGGAGCAGGAAAAGCAGCCACAGCCAGCCCTGGCCAGGCTGCAACAGCTCATCACGCCAACGCTCACAGCCACCTCCTCTCTGTGGGCATCCGGACCCACCTCAGCCCCTGCTGTTTGTGCAGCAGCTGGACTTCATCTCCCAGTATGGGTTAGAAACAGGAAAGAAACTGTAGGAGAGCAAATCTGACAGTTGCTCATAAACCGCAAAAAGTAGCTGAAGAAAAGGCAATCCATGGATTCAAGTCTTAAATGAGCAGCTGGGGACTTGAGGACTGTGAATTAGGCTGGGAGGTCTCACTGCCGGCCAAGTCTGGTCCAGCTGATACAGCCCGAGCACATCAGTGAACCAGCATCTTGTGGCTCCCAGGGACAACGGACTGCAGCCACCAGCATGACTGCAACAGCAGGTGGCTTTAGTAGAGTGGCTGCACAGCACATACATGGCCCAGGCACCAGAAACAAGGCAAAAAGTAAAGTAATGGTGTAGCTTCCCGCAGCGGCACCCAGCAGCAGGAAGTTTAATGAGAACCAAAGGAGCGATTCCAACCTAAAAGCAGCTCTCAGTCTGGGACCCAAAATGAATAGCAAAAACTTCACATTATTAGCACCTTCCCTCTGTGATCTGTGTGATGCCAAAGTCCAAATTAACACCCTCGTCAAGAAGAGGAACAGCCACTCACCAGGAAGCCGAAAGCGATGATCTTGAGGACGCACTCCAAGGAGAACACCATGGTGAACGCGATGTTCAGGTACTTCAGGGCCAGCTCATAGGTGTATGGAGCAGAGTAGTACTGATGGAAAGAGAGAGACACTGCTAGCCAGGAGGGGTTGCCAGCCTCGTGGCCGATGACTGTCCCAGGGAAAACCTGCGGTGGGGTCCATGTCCCTTGCCCTGGGTGCCTCAAGACCACCTCCTCCTTCCCCTCTCCAACCCTCTTTCCAGGACAGCCACCACTCCTTCTAAGAAGGAAGCACAGAGTAAATCCAGATCTTTTTGCAGTAGTTAAGAGGTCCAGATTATCTGGGTCATCTCGTTTAGGGAAGATCTCGCCTCCAGTTTGGAGCATGTGGCGTTTCAAGTGACTATGCCAAGGGAATACATGCTCAGAACCTGTCTCAAAGCATCTCCTAGAAACAACCAAAATACTCTCCGGTCCCATCCTGATCGACTCTCCTTCTCCCCGCTGCCCCAAACAGGACAGGCTCACTCTGCCCAGCTCACCTTCATCATCAGCACCACGGTGTTCAATGCTATCATGGCCATGATGGTGTACTCGAAGGATGGGGAGACCACAAAATGCCAGACCCGGTACTGGAAAGTGTGCCGGTTCTGGGGCATGTACCGCGTGAGGGGCTTGGCGCTGATGGCAAAGTCAATACAGGCCCTCTGGAATAAAAACAACACGCATCAGACCCTGGCCGATGGCAATGTGGGGGATGGTGACTGCCATACTTCTTTCCTTCATGGGCTGGACAGGCAGGTGGCTCACGGGTTTCTTACACCTTTCCAACATCTAGGGAGCCCCAAGCTCCCAAATGGCAGAAAACCCATGGAAACGTCCTCTTTCCCCCTCCCCAGACTGTACCTCGTTCTTCTCCAGACTGCACTCCTCCATCATTTTGTCGCCTTGTTCCTGGAACGTAATGATGATGAGAGCCACAAAAATGTTGACAAAGAAGAAAGGGAAGACCACAAAATAGACGACATAAAAAATGGACATCTCCATGCGGTTGCTGCGGCTGGGCCCACGGTCCTCCTCCGTCACGTCCACCGAATGCTGCAGCACCCTGTGGACAGACAAGTGAAGAAAAGCAGCCAGAGATATGCCCATCAGGACTGCCACCACGTGGCACTTCTTACAGGACCCACTTTATACAGCCAGCTTTGCCTGTCCACAGTTGCAACAGTGATAAGATAAACCTCTGCCTTAATCTGCTTTACAAGGACAACCCTTCTAAGTTGCTACATCTAGTTTTACAGTGCTTTGCCTGTGCCCAAATGGAAAAAGGATTTTTCAGTGAACCACATAGAGAGAAACTGCCCAAGGTCCCATGAGCATGAAGAATGGGCTAGTCCTATGGTCATCTCTCAACTTGAGCTAAAATAAACCTCAGGGCCACACAGGAGAAGGGATTATCCATCAATCACTCCCTAAGGAAGAAGCTAACCCCAACCATGGTTCCAGCCTCATATGGGGGGCTAAAGCTCTTCTGTCCTGGCATAATTTTTCATCCTTCCTCTCCTTCTCTCTGCCCAGAAGTTTCTCTCTCAGTCTCACCTGGCTGTAGGCAGTTATTAACCAAACCACCCCAATGGAGGCACGCCCACCCTAATTCAAGGGGGTGGATGGAGCAGAATACTCACTGGGGCCAACCCTCCCCAGTGGAAACTGTGAACAGGGTGAGCAAAGCCCAGATGATATTGTCATAGTGAAACTCATGGCGTTTCCATTCCCGGCACTTCACTTCCATCTTGTTCTTCTCGTGGTCCACGTAGTTCCCTCTGCAAAGTTGGGAGAGAGCAGTGACCGTGTGTTTTATGCTGCCAGACTATGAGACAGTGTTTTTAAACCTGGGGACGATGTGTGTATGCTGGGGGGAGGACGGGCACGACCTGTCCTCCTTCAGGGCTTAAGGGAGAAATGGGGAGAGGCTGGGTAACAACCTGGGGGGAAGGAGAGAAGGGGAAAGCAAAAGGGGATAGAGGAGGAGGAAAGAGGACAGGAGCAAAATACAGGGTTCTGCATCCCATGTCCCATGCAAGGATGCACAGCGCTGACACAGCAATAAAGAGAGGGCTCAGTCCATGCTGTCCACCCCAAGAGACTATGGCCAAGAGCACATCATGTCCAAGGACTTAACTGGGAACCCCAAAACAACATTACCCAGCACCCTGCCTTTGCCAGAGGTGTCAGCAGCATCAGACCTACTGAACAGGGCACCTACATGCAGTCCTTCTCTGTGTCCTTTGAGCTGTCAGTGCAGTAGAAAAACTTCCCCTTGAAGAGCTGGACCGCAATGACAGCAAAGATGAACATAAAAAGCTTGTAGACAATGAGAATGTTGAAGACATTCTTGAGGGAGGTCACCACGCAGTCGAAGACGGCCTGAAGGAGAAGGCAGAGCTCACCTTGGGGAACTGACAGCCTTGGCAAAGAGCAGGACCAAAACCTTCCTCAAGACTACCATGGGGAAAGACATTTCCCACTGCTGGAGTGGAAAGGAGGAAAGAGCTGAGTCTTCTCCCAGGCAAAGGGCTATTTTATAAGCGAGCTTAACTTCTGGAGTAGCCCTCAGCACACCCACAGACACTGAGCAGCCCTTGAGACAGCAGCAGGGATGGATATTTATATCCTCCAATGTTCTCTGCAACCAGGGCAGCAGACAGGGGACGGCCCGATGATGCAATTAGCAGCACTCAAGACCAATTAGTAAACACTTCTTTGTTTCGCATCACCCTGAATAACAAGGCTGAGCAAATACCTCTGCCTGCAATAGCAGCACCTCCCTGGGCTGTTCTCTCAGCCCTAGTTCTCACAGCACTTTAAGAAAGAGAGAAGCGTCCTTATCCCTGCTTCATGTTGAAGACACAGGTATCCAGAAATGAACTGACATGGGCTAAATCCATCCACTGATTGGGAAGAGCAGCTGGGGTCAAAACTCATGTTTCTGGGGTGCCACCCTGGGCCTCATCCATCAGCCAAATATCATATCGTGAAAAAACCTCAGGCTTTCCTTGGTCTCTTACTCCTTTCTGGCTCTATACCCCATCAGCTAAGGTAGGGAAATCCATGATCCTACCTGTGCTGCATAAATAATCCCTCTATTCAGATGGGAAAGCCCCCTCTGGTGCAACACCGGGACAGCACAGCAGACAAAAACCTGAGTTGTTTGCAGGCTGCTCCAGTGGGAGAGATAATGAACTTTGGAAAGAGATTTGAGCTCTCTCCAAAGCCAGGGCAGCCTATTTTATCAAGAGAGCATCTGGGCTTTGCTGAGCCTTGTGACCACTCCAGCCCCACTGTCCCTGGCAGAGGAACTAACTCTGACACCTTGCAGAGATCCAGGCTTGCTTTTAGTAACTCATTGCACTGCCAGATACGAAGCAGCCTGAAGGGTATTGTGTTTGAAAACAGGGCTCCTAAAACCACAGCAAACGCTAAGAAAACTACTTGTCCGTCGCTCACGAGCAAACCAGTGCATGTGGTCCCTCCACCCTCCGGTCCATGCTGGAGAAGACAGATGCAATGCAGGAGATGGGGATCATTACCTTCAGCTTGGGCAGTCGCTTGATGGTTTTCAGGGGCCTCAAGACCCGTAGCACACGGAGAGACTTGATGGTCTTGATATCCCGGCCCTTGTTGGTCCTACCATGTCAGAGGGAAGCACAGGCACCCAAAAAGGAAACGGAGAGACAATAACCTTGCAGACCCAGGGCTAGATGCTCAAGGGATTTTCAACAGCTGACCCGGCCCACCCCCAGCATGCATAAGGATGGGAACGGGAAGGCCACATGCCATCGTGGGGACCAGCGATCACAAACGTGGGACTGCTGAGCACTCAGCCCGCCTAAACGAGTCTCCTCCAACACACGCACTGACAGCTGGCAGAGATGAAAAATAAAGCCATCCCCTCCTCCTCGGGATTAGCACCTTTCCCCTCACGCCGGGGAGCAGCGACCTTAACAAATCCCCTTGTCATGGGAAGCAGTGACACGACAGGGCTGCACCTCCCTGAGCAAGGGCAGCTGCCCCGAGGGCACTGTGACACACTGTCCTCCCCCGTGTCCCCAAGCCATGACAGGGCCAGGAGGTTTGCTTCCCTACTGCAGGCTTGTGCCATCTGCAGGTGGGGCTTGCAAAAGGCCCCCACCATTGCAAAATGTTTTCCTTCATTGCTACTGGCTGCAAGGAATTCACAATAAAATGAGGGAGATGCACTCAGTGGGGTCTGCACGGGCCTCTCTCCAGGAGTTTTCCCTTCTGGTGTAAACTCAAGATTCACAGTCCTCACATTCACCTAGGGAAACGCCTGCTCTGTGCTTGGTTTCTTTGTACAAATGCTGTCTCTTACAACTTTCTGCCTTATTCCAGCAGTGCCACCTAATTTGGTCAGCTTGGCCTTCCATCTCACAGCATCTCAGCCCTCTCTTCCCTCTCCAGACCAGGACTGTGCTTGCCTCCACCCCAAGTCAGCTGAGGGAGACAGAGTTTACTATTAGGATTATTTAGAAAAGCAGCACTAAAACTGCTCAAGACCCTCATTTCTTAAATATGGTGATTAATCCCAATCACAATACGAGTTTTTTTTTTTTCTCTTGTCATTTAATTAAAGCCTGCGGGCTGGATCCCAGAATGGAGCAGAGAGGTCCTGGTAAAGGTGGCACAGTTTGTATCCACTGGGCACCCGCAAAAAAAGGCCAAGGAAATGACTTAAAACAACAGACGTTCCAAATTACACAGCTCCTTTGCAAGGGTTAATGCAACAGGGAGCACAATAATGGGTTTAATCATTAAGAGATGTAAATAAACCCACTAATTAATAGTCCTCTCTAGGAGCACAGCCCCACAAAAGCATGGGAAGCAACAGTACAAACAGTCCCAGAACCCACTTTGCATCTCCCGTCTCCTGCTTTGCTCGGTGTCAGGGCCCGGGTAAGCGGCTGGGGCATCTGACTCAGGGCTGGGATGAGGATTTGGGGGCAGCTTTCAGCTGCCACAAGCTGCCACAAAGGACAACTTAACTGAAGTGGCTTGTATCTGCTGAGGAGGGACTGCTTCAGACCTTAAGAAACTCCAGATTTGCTTGGGATCCAACATGGATACGGGATAGATGGCTGGGTAACACCTGGAGGAAATCCTGGCCTTGCTGTGTCAACAGCCAAGGCTGAGCTCTCCCCAGCCCCCTGAGCTTGGCATAAACCACATCCCACACCCTCGGAGGATGTCAGAGCTGAAGTCCCGGCAGCATTTCAGTGCAGAGCCCTCAGCCCTGCTCCCCTAGGTGTGCTTAGCACCACCTCTGGGTCCTCCACAGACACTCCAATCTGCAAGGAAAGCCCCGTCCTCTGAAGGCAAGGAACTGCATTGCTTGCAAGGAAAATCCCACCTGCGCTTTCCCGGAGCACACCACCTTTAACGCATGCTGGGGCAATACAGGGCTGCATGCAGAGCAGCGTACTCCAGCCTCTGGGAACGCAGCTAAGGGTCAGCACAGGTGTCAGACAGACAGACACTCGCCTGCACCCGTCCCCCCGCGCTCCCCAGGGCAACACCCCGCAGCGAGCCAACCGGCATTAGTTACCCCAAAGCATTCCTGTCGGTGATCCAGCCCGGCAGCCACCAAACAGCACCAACAGAGAGAGGGAAAAGAGAGAAGAAAGGAAGAAGGTAAGAAGAGCAGTGGGGGAGCTGCACAGGGATGACCACAGCCCCTCGGGCAGCTCTCTGCCACCCCACACCCAGGTTGAAAGGCACGATGAGTAGATCCACGTTGTGTCCTCCAGGATGGGGCTTACCTTCAAGGAGGGACTCAGCCAGCCAGCCAGGAGCCCTTGCCCACCCTGCTGGAGTTTTTGGGAGGGGGGCATGTAGTGATACCTCTGCTGCAAGAGGAACCCGTGGGGAGCGGGTTGGTGGGCAACAGCAGGTGGGCGCATGGTCCTCCTCGGCCAGGAGTTGGGGAGGGACCTCGAGGCTCAGCCCCAACCAGCCAAAGGCAGGCGCCTCCAAGGAAACCTGCCTGCAAGGCCACAATAGTTCCCATCCAAACAGGCTAACTCTGCTAAATCGCCTCTATCAAGAAATCCACTGATTAAGAGCCAGAGCTGCAGTGCAGGATCTCCTGCAACCCAGCAGGACACCCACTCAGACAAGCCAAGGTGGTCTACAAGGTCCCTACTTGTAACCAAACCTCTATCCTTGCTTGAGCTAAGTCCCTGCCACGTGCACACAGAGTGCTCAGCACTGGGGGCAGAGCCTACGAAGTAAAACGTGTCTTAAAACCCACACAAATAACCCCAGGCCCTGGCTGCGCGTTAGTGAAGCAAGTGGAAGGTGTGTTGAAAAGGTGATAGTTTAACTCTGCAGCCCTCCTGTGATGAGATAGCAGACTTCTGTCCTGACCTGTCACACCAGATTATTTTGCAGTACAACAGGGGTCCCTCTTGTTTCCAGACACCAGTGCTGATGGGTGCTTTGCTGCTCAGCAAAGAAAGAGGCATCTCTTTCGGGTACCTCTGTTTGGAGAGACTCCTGCCCTTGCTCACCAGGTAAGACGACAAGGGTTACGCACTGATCACTCAACCTTTCCACCACCCTTTCCACCGCTCAAGCCTCTCCCCGCTGCTGCAAGCCCGCAGGCGTAGGCATCGCCGCGCTCCCGGCAGCTCTGCAAAGCCACAAGCGAGTGCTGCTCCTCTGTGCAATGCCTCCTCGGAGGGTGCCATGGGAGGCAAAAGCGAGCAGGGTCTTTAGTTATGGTTCTGGTTATTTCAGCTAATTTAATTTGAACTCTTTGGAGAGTTACGGTTTTATATTGGGCTTTTTATTTAGGCTGCGTTTGGACTGACGCATTCGCTTTCCACATGGAGAGCTACGGATGAGCTGAGACAGCCTCTTGCTCGGGATGTAAGGGCTCTGAGGGGACAGTGGACAAGCCATGACGGCACACAAAGAGATGACTTTATGGGTGGACACTTGCTTATCGGTGATTTCGATGTGGCGCCGACAGGCAGCAGATGACGGTGGCACCGCTGGATCAGCTCTCAGACCTCCTGCTGTGCCCATGGCTACCCAGGACCCCCGCAGGAAAACCAAACCGCAGAGAGGAGATAAAAAACCCAAATGGCACAGTGTGTCCCAGCACTTCCACTGGGAAGTGCTGGACCCAGTCACCAGCTGCTCTCAGAGACGTAATCGCTGCAGCCGCTCCATGGGAGAAGAGGAGGGGAACAGGGAGGACACATCCCCTTTGGCCCCACATCAAATAGCTCACGGAGGGACAAGAAAAGGAGATGGATTCAGACATCACTGCCAGAGTTTTCCTCTCAAGACAAGGATGGAGGGGGAGAGGCGGGTTGGGACATGTACAGCTGGTGAACATCCTGCAGTTCCCCGGGCCACGGTGGTGATGGGCTGCCAAGAGGAGAGGCAGGTGTTCTTAATAATGCTTTATAATGTATAAACCTATTGGAAAACGCTGCAGTTCCTTTGTTCCCCTCACCCCCGAAGCCATGAGATCATCTCCTCCAGCAGGAGCCACCATAGGATGTGAGGGAGAGGGACAATCCCGTAGATTTACACTATAAAGAGACTTAGTCCACAACACAAACAATTTGGTATCTACCCAGCTACGGCTACAAGAGTGAACAGGGGACATAGATGCTTGCTGCAAATGTATGTGGAGATGCAAAGGCCCTCTCCGTGGGAGGGGGTTTGGTGCCGCAGCCGATGGGGGTGCTCACCCTCAAGAATTTGGCTGCCCCGTGCCCAAAGGGACCTGTCCTTCCCTCGGGAGGCTGGGTGGGGGCAGGCAGGTGGCAAGCGGGGCTGGAAGGGGCACGGCAGCTTCCCCACATGCCAGCTCCAGGGGCCACCCCAGAAACTGTCACCTTTGTGGGGTGGGGGCAAGGAGACAATAAGCATTGATTATGGTAAGGTTAGTAGCGGTGAGGACCCCCCTCCACCCAGAAGCAGGCTGAGCCATCAACCTAGGCTCCTTTAGCCATCGAAAAGTCTTGATAAAAGATGCCTTGGAAGGAAATTCTCCCTTGTCTTCCTAAAGCCCCTCAAACCACCCAGCACATCTTCAGGCTGCCAGTGGCCTTGAGCCCACCCCCCAAACATGCTCTGGGGGGCTGCCCTGGCAGAGGAGGTATAAACCAGACCCCAGAGATGCTTGATCCATCCTGGTGGTGGCCTGGGTGGCCTCCGGCAGCTCAGAGCAATGTCCTCACAGCCATCAGACCTGCCCTGCACCCCTTCCCCATGGAGGGGGTCGGCGGTCAGCCCCCCACCCTGCCCAGGGATATGTTCATCCCTGTGCTGAGCAAGGTGAAATTTCCCGTGCTCTTCCCAAGGCTGAAATCACCAAGCAAGGACAGGGTAGAGGAGAGTGAGGAAGGCAAAACCAACGAGCCAGGGAGGGTGCAAGTGGGCAAGAACAAGGGGAAGGAGCTGCCGCCTGGCTGGGGGTGAGATGGGAGGGATGGATTATAGGCTGTAATCCATCAAGTGACCTCAGGGCTGGGACCCAGCCACCCCAAAAGCCTCGCATGGTATCTGAGCTGCAGACAAGGACAGGGCTCCAGTCTGTGCAGCTGCCAGGCCTCCCCCTCTCCTGAGCACTAAAGCCTCTGCCTGCAGCGTCAAAGGCACAAACAGAGGATAACAGCGTGGCAAAACCACAGCATCTCCTCTCGTCCCCCTCCCTGGGCACTGAGAGGGCACCACAGCCCTAGGGACCAGCGGGTGCCCCTTGCCCACTCCCTGGGTGCCAATGCGTCTCTCCCCACGCTCACACCAGCCCCAGCCCGCAGCGCAGAGGAGGGCAGAGCAGCACAGAAGTCATCCCTGGATGCCTCTCCCCGCTCCGTGGCTTGGGCACCACAAACATCAAGCCACCCTGCAAAGGAGGACCCACCTACACAGGCACCACAAGCTCGGTACCAGAGCCCAACCTCAAGGTAATGCTCAGCAGGAGCACGCTGCAGAGCAAGCACGCAGCACCCTGCCCTCGGCGTGACGCTGCAGAGGACGCGGGCACAAACCCCACCAGGCGCATCCTCATCCCGGCAGGGCTCCGGGGCGATGCTCCCCCTCGGAGCAGAGGGAAAGCCACGGGCCAGGGGTACCATTTCCAGCACAAACACGGTCAGCGGGCAGCTCCACATGGCAGGCTGCTGCTTTTGCAGTCTCTGTGAGCTCCAAGATGTGTAGCAGGTGTGTAATTCCAGCTCTGCCACCTTTAGGTCTTTCTCCCTCTCTAACAGCCCCTTCTGCCCTCTTTCAAGTCCACTTTCACCACCAACCTCTTCCTAGCATCTCCAGCTTTCTTTGCCTTGTCCCCTGCCTGCTTGCTCACCAGCATTTGACAAACAAGTAGAAATACATCTCTGGAGCAGCCACACACCGCTGCCAGGAGCCATCCCAGAAGCAGAGCAGAAGGGTGCAGAGAAATAAAAAAAAAAAACAAAACATCAGGGTCTAGTAGCCATAACACACAGTTGCATCCTCCTCCCACCCCAGCCAAGGGAAGTCAAAGAGCTAACAAAGACAATGGCCACTTACGCCAAGGCGAAAGCCACCAGCGCTCCCACCACCACGATGAAATCCAGGATATTCCAGAGGTCTCGGAAGTAGGAGCCATCCTGCAGGATCAAGCCCTGATCGATCATCTACCGGGGGGGAAGGGGTGAGAAAAACAGGCAGGGAATGAGCATCTCAGCCATCAGGTAGAAGCATTTGCAGGTGGGATGTGCTGGGGACAGGGACATCACTGGGAAGCAACGGACCTGTCCCTGCACCTCAGGTATATATCAAGAAGCATCATATTTGGGGAGCCTGAAGACTGATAAAAGCGGTGCTGAGCACTCTTGAGCCCCAGCGCTAAGAACCAGGTTTTAAAGTCTCCCTCGTCCAAATTTAGGACCAGAACTGAAAAACTGAGCTATTTCCCACCCACTGCAAGATGCTGCGGGACACAGCATCCCCAGAACAGGCCTTGCGGGCTGCCTCTTACCTTGATAACCATCTCGAAGGTGAAGACACCGGTGAAGACGTAGTCAAAATACCTCAGGACCTGCAGAGAGAGGGGCATGGCCACTCTGCAGCCGCTGCCGAGCAAACGGGCTCACTGGCACCCACCCAGACCCCCTTACCACCCTGCACTGGGGCTCGCCTGGCTCAGGTGCTGACATAGGGAGGATTCGCTCACCCCAACCCCAGCCTGTTCCCTAATTGCTCAGCACAACCATAAACCCAGCCTGCGTAAGCAGGAGAGAACTATTGCCCATGCATGGTGCAAGCAGCTCTGAAATCATGCTGCAAGCTGGAATCACGCTCCCCCATACCAGTCCCTGTGCACATCAGTTTCCCCCCAGTTTAAGCTACTTTACTATCGACAAGGCGCCCTGGTCTGCTCCCCAGGCTCTAAACCCCATGTGTGGGAGGCTGAGAGCAATTTCCAGGATTTATAAAGGAAGGTGATGGGGAAGAGGTCAGTCCCCACGGCACGGTGCAAGTGCTGCCACCGGTTGCTCTGATCCGTGTCCCACATGAGCCCCACCACGGAAGCTAAAATCCTAGCAGGACCTCTGCCTGCGGGATGGGGGGGAGCAGGGGAGGTTTGCAATCACTTTGTTGCGGTCGGAGTTGGTGAGGACGGGATCCTCCGCCGCGAGGGCGATGCTGCTGGCGGCGATCACCAGGAGGATGCACATCTCGAAGTAGCGCAGGTTCACGATGTAGTGGCAAGCCCTCCGCACCCTGCGGGGAGACAGCCCGTGCCCCAGCCTGTGAGCCCCTGGCACACCCCAGGCACGGCCCGCATGCAAAACCCACGCCACACCACCGGCTTCCAGAGCAGAAAGATGGGCAGCAAAGTCTGAGGAGCGAAACAAAGGAGCTCAAGGGTGGTTTGGGCTTGCTGAACCCTTTGCTCGGCTGTCCCAGCCCCCAGGACATCCCACGGCCAAGCCAGGGAGAATCCCTGAGAAATTGGGGTGCTTATTCTTCCAGGCTGCTGGAGCTAGAGCTGGGAAAGATCTCTGGGCAAGAGCTACAGGGGAGCTGAAAACTACAGAAAAATGTAACAAGCTTTGAATAAAAATCGTCGCTAGCAATCAGCAGTCGGGAGAGAAAACTGTGAGTGTGTCTGGCACAGAGGGGGGGAGCGTTGCCAGGGCTTGGGGAACACCATGACTGGTTATCCACGCTGTTTGGGAGATATTCAGCCCCCTTCCCAAGGGGATCCCCTGTTTTCAGTGATATCTAGAGGTCCTCCCCCTTGCAGCCCTCCCCAGCACCAGGCTCCTACAGTCCAAAAAAGGTCTCACGGGTTGGTGGTGCTGAAGATGAACATGGAGCTGTGTGGCACCATCGCTTTGCCCGTCTCGCTTTTCTCCTTCTTCCGCTTCTTCTTCTCCATCTCCTCCTCATCCTCTTTGGTCTCGGCCTCTTTTAAGGGGCTGGCTTCGCCGTCTGTCTTGTTGCTAACTGCAGGAAAGCGAGAGCCTTTGCCCGGCCTTGCACCCAGACAACACCCCGGGATGTCCCTGCCACCTGGGCACACACAACGCCCCCCCGTTTTCTGCTCTGCATCCCTGTGCCGTTACGGAGAGAGGAACCAGAAGGGAAGAAAACACACGAGCTGCCGGGATGAGGCAGACAAAAGGGGTTTTAACAAGGCCAGCTTTCACAGTGCTGTTTAATTAATAACAGCATTTAAAGCTGCTCACCTTGACAGCGAGGATGCTGTTAAGGGGTTTGAGCAGCAGCGAGCTGGGCAGGGGCTGCGGATGTGTTAGGAGAAACAGAGGATGCGAGTGTTTTGCTCGGGTGGAGAGGAAGAGGGAAGGAGGGATCAGGCAAAGGGGCGGGTGGGAAGGAGGTGAGAAAGGGAGAAGCTCCCCCGGGGAACGGTGGCATATGAGCATTGCGTTTGGGCTCCCCTGCAAAACTAGGGTGCTGGAGGAAGATTCTGCAAGGAGCAGCAAGGAAAGTTGAACCACCTAGTTGATGGATGTGGATAGGAAAAGCCGTGCAAGCGGCTTTCCATCCCACCCCAGGGTCCCTGAGGGCCGGGAGAGGGGCTCAGGAAAGAGAGATGGGTCCTCACTCTGTACCACAGTGGAGTCGTGGACATCGATCATGATGGTGGTGCTCTCCGTGGCCTTCTCGGTGTTGGGGGTGATGGATGAGAGGTCGGGCTCGCTCCGGCTGGCAGTGCGGCTGGCCTCCAGCAGCGCTTGCTCGCTGGTGTCCAGGCTGCCGCAGTCCTGCTCCGTCAGGCTGCCCATCTTCCCCCGGGGGGGCTCGGGTCCCGTTTGCGGGGGGGTCCCCTCCTCAGCGGTCCCAACCAGCTCGGCCTCACCGGCAGGGACCCCGTTTGTCCTGCAGGAGGGATGAGGGAGAAAAAGAAGTGCGAGAAGATAAGGGGAGAGGACAAGGAGCTGTGGGAACTGCAAGATGTCCTCCCTGGGTACTAACCTGACGGGTTCCCCACTCGCCTCCGGCTCCCCCTGAATCAGCACCTCCGCTGCGGCCGTGTCCCCGCGCCGGTCCCCATCCTGCGCCCCCTCCGTGGGGCTGGCCTCCTCCAGACCCATCTCCTGGCTGGCCGAGCGGCTCCCCAGGGCGCCAGCCGGCTCCTTCCCCTCCACCCGGGCTCTGCGATGCCGGCTGCGCCGCTGGCTCTGCCTCATCCTGGCCCTATCCTCCATGCCGCCTCCTGCCCCGTCCTGCTCGCCCGGCTCACAGTTCCCGTGGCACGATTTTTGGTGCCACAGCTCCTTGTCTCGCTTGGCCCGGGGTGACGGGCTCCTCCTGTCCTCACCACCGCCGGGGTTGGCTCCCGGGGTCGGCTGCTCGGGTCCCTCGGCCGGCGGCCGCTCGCCCTTGCCACCCTGCTCCTCGGCGCATTTCTCCAGGGCGACGCCGTCCCCCGGTTTCTTCCTGCGGAAGATGCTGGCGTGGGGGTTGATGAGGGGAGGCTCGTCCTTGTTGATGCCCTCCTGGCTGGACATCTGCATGTGCCGGCGCAGCTGGCTGGTGCGCTGCTCCCACACCGACATGTGGTGCCGCCGGCGACGCTCCCGCCTGCAACGGGGGGACAGAGAGGGGGTCGGCATCCTGGCTGCTCCCCTCGGTGAAGCACCCGCCCTGGGTTTAATTTGAGAATCCCCAGGGCTATGGGATGGGCTTCTGCTTCATCCCCAGCCCTCCGGCATCCCTCTGGGGGCTGAGACTGTACTTCTGCTCCTTCAGAAGGCCTCAAGCTGATGGAGGACCAGTCCCAGCAGTCTCATAGCTGCCCTGAAGCTTTCAGGCAGTTTGCTGGCAGCAGCCAGCGCCCGAGATTGCCCTGTCCAGGCGGTGACCACTTTCCTCTTGCATGATCGCCTGGGGACACCTTCTTAAATATGGGCAATGCCCTCTCACTGCAGCCGGGGATCCCTCCTTGCGCTGGGGATGGCTTTGCATCACCCGCTCCTCGGAGCCAGGCTCCTTTTCGGAGCGGGGGACTGACACGAGAGCCAGCTTGTCGGCAAGGGTGGCAGTCCTGATGGGATGGGGACAGTGAGTAAGAGGGGAAAAGATGCCAGCCAGGTGCAAGACCGGCCTTTCTCAGTGAGAGATGGCCCTTCTGAGACATTTGCAGCGGAGAACACCACGGGGTGCAGGAAGCCCCCTCTGTCCCTGTGCTCAGCTAGGCTCAGCCAGGACAGCCCCCCACCCCACACATCCCGGGTAGGAAGCCTGCCCCAAGGCCTGGGGAGCAGCGTTTTCAGCTGTCTGCAGGGGAGGGAGCTGTACTGGGGCTCCACGTTCCTACAGCTGTGCTCTAGGGAGGGCTGGCCTACGCCGTGAAACATCTGCAGAGCCGTAAACACGCACACAAACACCCCGGAGAAGACAGACGTGCCCTTCCCAACACACCTAGGCACACGGAAAGAACCCACGAGTACGTACACTGCTCACCCACGGGTAGCGGCACACACCGACACACACAGAACTGCACGGCACACGCACGAGGAGGTTGGGCACACACAAAAACCACGAGTGCACGCACGCGTGCCCACAAACAGGGGTGCGGAGGGGCACACTGAATACAGGCACACACACGCGTGACACCCCCCCCCCCCCCACGCCCGCCGAGGAGGCCGGAGGGGAGCGGTGTGCGCCCCGGCCCCACGGACGCACAGAAAGCACAGGAGCCACAGACGACACGCGCCCCCGCGGCCCACATACAGGTGGCTGCTGCGTGGCTCCCACATCGACATGTGGTGTCTCCTTCGCCTGTCTCTTCTGGGGAGGAAAAACAAACGGGTTCAATCCCCCCTTCACCCTTCCTTCGACTCGTGTGGGCAGCGCAGAGAGGTGTCCCCCCACCCCGGGCAGCCGGCATCTCTTTGCCTCTTGGCCACCGGCTGCTGGGATGCCGGAGGGGCAGCAGCCAGCAATGAATCCCCTGCTCCTTGCACACCAGCAACGAGCTGCCTGCAGGGCTGTCCATGCTCACACTCGCACGCTGCAATCCATTTTGGGGGGGGGGGCTACGGAGCCTTCCCCGCCCCGGCCAGCTGTGCAGCAGCAGCACGGGGAAAGTGGTGCAGGCTACAGCCCCTCAAAAGCCCCGGTACATCCCTGGATATTTAACAGATCTTTCAAACCGCTCCGAATTGCCTTCTCCCCAGCAACATGTGGCAATTTGAAAGAGGAAGCGATGCGTCAGTCCAGCCCCGAGCTGCTCGGAGCCGTCGCCATGGGTTGATGCTGCCCTGAGACTGCAGAGGGGAACATGAAACTCCCCAGCAAAAGCAAGGCACAAGCGCAGGGCTGAGGTGCCCCTGTCACCTGAGCAGCCCCAACACAGAGGAGCTCAACGGGGCTGTCAGCGCCTTTCACCCCCACCGACCTCAGGCAGCTGGGAAGATTCAAGGTTTTATCCTTTGCATCGGCACAGAAAAGATCCAGATACGCACAGCTCCAAGCAAACAGCCGCGAGCATATGCAAACACACACGCAGTAATTTACAGGTTTTGCTTTTTGCTAATGCCACGTGTGTGTGTGTGTGTGTGTGTGTACGTGAGGCATGCAAGCAAATACACTCCGACCACAGGGGATCAAAGACAGGGTGCGTCTCGCCCCCGTCAGTGCAATGATACCCCTCCCCGGTCCCCGGGGGAGTCACGCTGGCGATTGCCTCCTTACGGCCACATCCACGGGAACGGCCCGGTGCCACGCTCAAGGCAGAGAGCGAGCTGCAGGCGCCCGCCGCCGTCCCCGCAGCAAGTGGCCGAGCCTTCAAACGCATCCACGCACCACGTTAGGCATCAACACATGACAGCATCCGCATGCGTCCATCTGGCCACCCACTCGTCAAGCAGCCCCGAGCCATCTGCACCACCGGCGCCCATGTACAAATACAATACTCCGATCGGCACCGCAGCCGCCCACGCCAGCCTGGCCACGTGGGAGCACTCATCCCCGAGCACCACCGGACCCCTCTGCAGGCAGGAACGCGTGTACCAAACCTGCCTGCGCCGGGTACCCACATAGAAATGAAGCCATCTGTGTCTGCGCGCACCCAAACGCGGAGACCGGCTCAGCTCCACCGCGCTGAGTTTCCCACAGCCCTCGGGTACCGGCTCGGAACCCTGCTGTGAGGTCCCCACCGTCCCTCCCCAGCTGCTGGCGTCGGTCCAGCACCACCAAAAGCGCATCGGACCCGATGCTGGAGGATGGTCGCCCCCATGGCATCGCACTCCCTTCCCTGCCCCTGACACTACCCCTCCTGATGAGGGGGAGGAGCTGGGAAAAAAAAAAAAAAAAGATCTGAGAATATCAATACCTCCCATCTTAATGCCACTAGAACAACAACAAAAGGTTAGAGATATCTGTTTTCTTAACCAGCTATATCTGACAGTGGATAGAAAACTAGCAGGGATGTGCAACACGGGCAAATCCTTCAGTGCCCTAATACAATCCACTTCCCCTCCTTCCATTCTCCAGCTTCTTCTGCAGCCTAAATCCCTCTACTTCTTCCCTTTATCCAACATGTTCCCACTAGTAGCCAGCGACGGTCACGAAACACAGGCTCTGCCATCTCTCCTGTAACCTCTCCTCCCAGTACCTGGCCAGGCCCAGATGAACATCCCATCACCCCCAAGCCAGGGCGGTATCTGCAGCTGCTGGGAGACCAGGCAGGGCTTACAAGTACCCCCAGCTCCTGCTGTCCCTAAACGGACCATCACATCCCACTGCTGCCAAGCCAGGGAGGGGGGCTGTTCCCAACGCTGCCTCCGACCCCCCCCCACCCCCAAAATCAGGGCTCGCCTGAAGACAGTGGTTTGTCTCGGCAAATCTGCAAGAGATTCTGCCATGTATGAGCTTGGCTGGGTTTCAAAGCATAACGAAACCTAAAATTCCCTGGGAAGGGATTCTATAAAAAAAGAAAAAAAAAAAAAAAAAAAAAAAAAAAATCCTTTCAGCCGTACTGAAATGTACTGTTTTGGGAAACAAATCAAAACGCCTCGTTCCAATGTTGACTTTGAAAGTTTTATGTGATTTAGACCATATGACACTGCAAAATAAAGGGAAAAAAGGCGTCTAGAAAGGAAAAAACAGAATTTTCTTGTGCTGAAATGCAGAGACAAGGCTCCTTAACACCATGCCAGGGGTTTATGTGGTTTGGGGCTTTCTTTTCTTGCCCAAATCAAATTTCTGTACAATCAAACGTGGTTTTGCAAACCTGTTCCATCTCTCATAACTGCATTCGCTACCAGGGAAGGAGCCCGGGGGAGATTTGTGACACCACTGCTCCCTTCTCCTCTAGCCCTGGCTGAAATCCCACAGCTCTGCCTCGAAGAAGCGCTCCCCGGGAACAAATATCACCCCTCCTCAAGAAAAAACTGAGATACCTGCCTCCTGCCCAGCCTCTTTCCTCACCCCTAGCAGCAGCCCTGAGAGTTTGAGCTGTACCTTTGGGGCAGAAAGCCTCTTTTAGCATATTTCTGCCATGCCCAAGCACTGAGGCTGCTGCTTGAGGCAGGGGTGGGCAACCCCAGGTCCTGCGGGGTGACCTGGCCCCCTCTCTGGCACCTCCCCAAAGGCACTGTTGCTCATGGGGAGCACGTTCCTAGATCTCCACCCATCCTCAGGAAAACACCCAGAGAGGGAATCACCCCATGCGGGGACCCCTTTTTTCTTGCAGCAGCCCCCAAAACCAGCCGTGCCAGGCTCCGCTTCAGCTCTCCACCCTGCTGAGAAGCCCAGCTGAGCTTGGGGGGGAGCACCGGGGCAGCGGTACCGGGAGGTCACTCACTCGATAGCAGGCATGTTTGGGGCAGACATGGGGCTGACTTCTTTGGCTTTCTGAAGGGCGTGCTTCTGGTTAAAGGCCTCCTCTTCTTCCTGCTCATCCTGCGGAGGAAAGAGGGGAGCTGCTCAGTGGGGTGCTGGGGTTTCAAGGGAAGGTGCAGCCATCGGAGGTGGCAAGGGATGCATGGGGCTACCTTAGATGCCAAGGCATGTGGGAGGAAGGGGGACCTGTATTTCCAGAGACAGCCTTTATTTTCCTTCTGCTATGGGGATGCGACTTCCCCACTACGCCAGCTCTTACTGAAGGCGTCAGCGCTACTTAAATAAGTGAACCCAGCCCACTCCAGGCAAAAGCCAGGCTGCGCACACTAGAACAGCCCCAGACAGCATAAACCAGCTCAGCCCTCTCTTCTTCACAACCACAGGGGCGAGACAGGCATCCCCCCAGTGGTGTGGGAGGCAAGGCATCCATGAATGACCCCGGCAGAGACCGTATTGCTTTAATGAGTACGGTTGTGTCTCCGGAGCAAAAAAATGTCATTAGGAGTCATTAGCGTGCATTCAGCCTTTTCAAAAACCCAGCGCTCCCTTAATTGGTGCTGGTGGTACGCCGCAGGGCTCTCCCACCCCTCTCACCCCAGCGACAGCCCGCAGCCTCTGGAAGTGCCACCTGCACCCGCCACGGAAGTAGAGGGACCCCCGCACGCACCCCTCAGGCCAACGAGCACCATGTCCCATTTTGTTTGCTGCTAGCAGGTCAGATTTACACCAGCATGGAAGCCTCTCTGTAAACCCCAAGGAGATGAGTAATAGGCACGGGCTCTGCAAAAAAAACGAGCACCACGGGATCGCTGGTCCCCTCCAAAGAGCAGCAACGACCCTTGTAGCTCTCGCCTACTTACCATTATCCAGATGGTGCCCCAACATTTTAGCATTCCCAAAATATTTCCCAGCATGGTCTTAAAAACAAACTAAGCCCAATAACCTTCTCAAACGCCATCCTAAACTGCATCCTAAATTACGTCCACTGCCCTGTAGGCAGGTGGGGAATAAATACTGACACCACAAGAAAAGCGCTTCCCACTCTGCATCTCCAGAGTGCTCGGGCAAATAACCGTCCCCGCACCAGACCCCATCAGACAGATGAGGGTTATCTCAATCTGACTGGAGGAAAATGAATCTGGGGAGGCTTAAACAGAGAAATGCTTAAGCCACACCTGATGGGAAGTGTGGCTGTTCCTGGAGAGACATGACACTGACAGGTTTAAGCACTTTCCTGAATCGAAGTCTGACCAGCTTTGCCCGGCAATATGGGTTTGCGTTTCAGGGGAACACCTTGCGTACCCTCCTGGAAGAAGAGCCCCCGCTTCCAATTTGACCTGACCTCTTTTTCAAGTCAGACTGAGTGAAGGGATGAGATGGCCACAGCTCTGGAGTGAGGACAGTCGCAGGCAGTGCTCCCAGTGCCCTTCCTCCTGGCCTCATCCTTCACTACCTGCACACCAGCAAGAGAAGAAAGAGAAGCAACCGAGACATACCTTGGTGAGCTCCTGAGCATTGGCCAGGTTGTCCACCGCAATGGCCAAGAACACGTTCAGCAGAGTATCTGCGAGCAGCTAAGGATGCACAAGGCATGTGTTAAGGACATGGGTGTCCGCAGCCACCAAGGGAGGGTGGCCCTGACGACTCCTCAACAGCTCAGTGAGGAGCAGCCAAAGGGACAAACTCCTCACCCATCCCATATATACAACCTTCAACACATCTCCAGACAGCTCCTTCACTGAGTTTGGTTGAGAACATGTGACTGGGTCTCCCTCAACTGGGAGAGGAGGAAGGAGCAATGCGGGGGGAGGGGGATGCCCCCAAAGAGGGTGATGAGACGGGGTTGTCTCCACTAAAAGCACAGCAGCCAGGTGGATACAGTTTCCAAACAAGGTGAGGACGATGAAATAGATGGAGGACCACATGCCTGAGCGAACGCCTCCCTGGGAGCGGATGCCGTTGTACATCACCTCGTTCCAGTCCTCACCTGTCAGGATCTGCAGGAAAGCAAGCCAGCAGCCCTGTTACCCACACCTTCCCGTCATCTGGACAGCCCTCCTCGCTTTATCCCACCAACGTGCAGGAGCCAAGTACAGAGACCCTGTGCAATGGATAACCCAGCTCTACATCTGCAGCACTTGAGGCAGAAGATGTTGGACACCACTGAGGTTTTAGGTCTCCTCAGACGAGTTTTGAAACTCTTCTACCTTGAGTAACGGAGTTGGAAGAGTTTCCATCTCTTCCCATATGCTTTGTTAGATGGGAGGAGAAGGAGGAAGCAAGTTATCTCCTAACAGCTGACGGAGGGGAACTCCTTTGGTTTAAAAAGCCCTTTCCAGACAGGGGAGAGTGAGCAGAGTCCCAAGTCCCTTTGGTTGTGTCCCCTTGCAGCCCAGCTCCTACCTGGAACACCGTCATGATGGCCGCGGGGAAAGTGTCGAAGTTGGCCGATGGCGTCCCATCAATGAAGTTAAACCTGGATGTGGAATGAGGAGGATGTAAATGGGCTGGAGTATTGAGGTCATCACACCCCTGACTGCTGTGCTATCAGCACTCTTGTGCTTAGCAGGGCCTTTCTCCACTTTAAGGAAGGTCTCCTGAGCATTTGGTGCCAGAACCCAAAAGGTGTCCTGGCCAGGAGGACCCACACATCCCAGAGGCACCTGCCCAAGTGGGGACTTCTGTATGGGAGAGGTACCACTGTTAGCAGCAGGCTGAAGGGCGAGGCTACAGTCTTCCTAAACACCCAGAAGGGCTTTAACACCAAGAAATTCCCTTTTCTCCAGACTTAAAACAACCTACCTGCCTCCAAACAGCTGCATTCCCAGCAGGGCAAAGACTACGATGAAGAGGAAGAGGAGGAAGAGCAGGCTGATAATGGACTTCATGGAGCTCATCAGTGAGACCACCAAATTCCTCAGGGATGCCCAGTACCTAGAAAGCAGAGACAGTGCTGGAGCACTCACAGTGATGCTAACAGGACAGCAGGAGTGACTGGATCTGGGCTGCAGCCACAGCCCGAGAGGAAGGGTGACAGGCACGGACGGTTGGTACATACTTGGTTATTTTAAATATTCGCAGGAGACGAAGGGCTCGTAGGACACTGATCCCAAAAGAGGTTCCTGGCCTGAAGATAGCCCAAACGACTTCAAAGATGCTTCCCACCGTGACCTGAGAAGCAGACACGGCCATCAGCCAAAAAGAGGTTCAGGATGGGCCGTTGCAGGAAACCTTCATGTGCCTGAAGATGAGGCACCCACCACCCTGCCCAAGACCCGGCATCTCGGTCTGGTACGGGTAGGCTGTCCTGGCAGAAAGTGATCCCCTGTGCACAGTGAGGGCCATCCCATTCTTCTTCCCCTTGCTGCCTTGTGCTGCAGATGCCTGCCAAACACCTCCCCCACTCCCCACCCCAGCATCTCTGGGGCCGCTTACCCCACAGTCGAAGCAGTTGAAGGAAGAATGGAAGTAAAGGCGCGGCCCCATCCCGTACATCTTTAAGGACATCTCCAGGAGGAAGAGGCCAAGAAACAGGAACTCTGCATAGTCTGAAAGAGAAAACCCAGACGTGCTACCCTCAGGGCGCTGAGCTGTGAGGAGCATCCTGCATGCATCCACCTGTAGCCCACATAGCCCATCACAGAGATGGGACAAGTTGAGGGCCACAGTGTTTCCCACAGCTCTCTCAGGCCAAGGTATGGGATGAGGGAAGCTTGTCTGCAAGGACCTAAATTGTACATAACAGAGAACCAACCCCACAAGTTACTCTTTCAAGGTAGGTGTACCGGTGACCCAGAGATTTGAGAAGACCAGAGATGGCCAGCATGGAGCAGAGCCGCTCTTTAGCATTATACGACAATGGTTGAGGTGTCTGCAAAGATGTTAAACACACAACACTGTAGGGGAATATTAGCAACCTGGATTCAAACCATTGCACGGCTGGAATGTGGCCAGGGTAACCGAGACGAACAGCCAAGACCCTGTGAAAAGCTTCTCCAGCTATTTCATGATCATTAGCAGGCAAGAATATGGCTCTTCACCTTGTCCAAAAGATGCTTCTCACCATGACCAGCTGCCATACCACACCACGGCGTGCTGGGATCCCAGCAGGCCTGAGCATGCTAATGTGGATTTGGGCATGCCCGGTGCTTGACGGGGACATTTCCAAGGTGACTAAGAACAACACGTCTGAGAAAGCAGCACCATCCTTACTGCAGCAGCTCAGGAGTAACACACGGCTGCCATGGGGTTGACCATCCTGCTCTGTAGCCAGCACCACACTAGAATAGACAAGGGTGTACTGCCTCCAAGACCTGACCTTGTACCATGGCCCATGATGGGCTGAGGGATGCTCCAGTAACTGGTTTGAAGCTTGGGATCTCCAAGCCATGCTCGGCACCGAAACTTTAACCAGGGGGTTCTCTCATGACCAGCCCCATCCCTGTAAACTCATGCCTCTCCAGCAGTTGCTTGTGGTCACGCAAAGATGGATCTCCAGCAAGCTTTCCATCACTACTGTTCACAATTTTAGGACAAACCCAACTAAGACCTGCAGTCTATTTCTCTCTCGACAAACACATCAGACCTGAAGGGCATGAGGCCACTAAAACTTCTCCACATTTGCTCACAGGGCTGAGACAGGCATCAGTGGCCATGAGGACAAGGGCAAAGCTGAACGAAATGGCTGTACAAAGTCCATTGTTTTCAACAGAGAACATAGTTCAGGTTATTCCCCATAAGCCCCATACCAGCATGACTCTGGTGGGATTCATCCCCACATGCTCTGGGGCAAGGAGCAAGGGTGTGCTGCAACCTCCAGCCATTGGAGACAAGGAGGTGGCAGGAGGTTTTGCCTGCCCACACAGTGCTCTCAACACCTACACAAAGCCCAGGAACTCACAGAGGAAGTGGGTGAGCCAGGCTGGCTGGTTGTGATGGACGATGGCCACGCAGGCAGTGTTGAGAGCCACCAGGCTCAAGACAATCCAGTAGAAGACCTGGGATTTTACCATGTGGCGAACGGAGATGCGCAGGAGTCGCTCCTTGTGCCGTAAGTAGGAGGCACCATCCACCCTGGCGCCTTTGAGGCCAGAGTGACTCAAGGGATTACCTAAGGGAAAAGAGGAGGGAGAAGGAGTTGGGTGCTCCAGTCAAGGTGAGAGAAGGAGTTGGGTGCTCCAGCCTTCCCTGCAACATGAGACAGGACAGATGGCTCACAGACCCTGCTCTTAGGGGACACGATTTATCCAGACAGTTTTTATGTAGCATGGGGAGCAGCAGGTTGCCAAACTCTCAGAGATGGCTGATCTGTGACAGTCTCCATGTGACGGATGCGACCCTGGCAACTCAATAAGCTGGGCAGAGGTTTGGTGGAAGCAAGCTCCAAACTGCACTGACCCAAGGTTGGATGAAGAGGTCTTCTCTGCGCCAGCCTCCGCTCGCCCACGGAGGAGATATCAACACAGTGCTCGTCACTTGAGTCACGGTTCATGGCATCTGTCCGGTTCCTTTTGATGGTGGCTCGCCGGAGCACTGGGAAGGGAAGAGGAATGGGTGTAGGAGCCACGGTGGCCCAACTCTGACAGGTGCCAGCTCGTTGGACCAGGACCTGGTGATCGATACTTAGCTAACTCAGGTGTGGTAACAGGACAGAGATACCCAGGTGACCCTTGTCCAGAGCTCTCTCTTGTGTGGGACCAGACAACTCCTGGCCTCCACGTTCTCTCAGGGGTTATGCTGACAGTCCACCTCCCTACACCCCTCTCTTGGGCTGCAGACCCCACCAGGGCACCCCGTCACAGCTGGAGGGTTTCATACATGCAGGCAGAAGGAAGGGCAGGCAGATTTTTAGGCAGGACATTGCTTGTCTTACCTTCTAAGGCTGAGGTCCCAGCATTTTTGTTCTCTTCAGCCAGCATGACTTCCTCTACGTAAAACACACAGTTCAGCATCAGGAGACAAGACACCGTTGGCTGAACACATCAGGCCTCACTGCCTTGCACCTAAGCACTTTGCCCAGCCTGGAGGTGGCTGCTCTAGGTTGCAAACTCTTGTCAAGTATTGGTTAAGTGTCCAAAAGCAAATTCTGGAGGGTGGCAAGTGGCAGCTACCACACATGGCATCAGAAAGAAAATTACTTATAATCAACCCTTCTTCCTCCACTGTAATTAATCCCACTAAAGAAGCTGAACATTGTAGACAGATACAGGACTCAACAAGCCAACCCAAGACCAAAGCTGAGGTCTGGGACTCTGGGCTCATTTCAAGATGCCTCTCCTTTTCCAAGTCCGAATGCTAGATGAAAGTGTAAATCTTCCCTTCCCAGAGCTGAGTGCACTAACCTGATCCCCACAAGGGGCAAGCAAGGACATGGGCTGTGGCAGTTTTGGGACCAGCACCCCCAGGCTGTTGTGCCTGGCTGGTTGTCAGTAGGAAGCCTGGAAACCTCCACCAACCCCAGCCCTTGCCCAGGTCCAGGAGCCCTGAGGTGGGAACTGGTGAGTGCCCCCCCTCCAGACTGCTCCAGGAGCAGGTTTAGCTGGAACACCACTGTCACCATTCACTGCTCTGCTTTCCCACTGCCCACTGCTGCAGGGGACTCCAGCAAATGTCAAGAGGAGGGAAACCATCGCAGAGCAAAGCTCACAGGCGTGATGCTCACAGCCCCCCCTGGAGATGTAATATGCCTCATGGTCAAAACATGACAGTTTCATGCCACAGAATGTGAGGTTTCATCAGCTGTTGGCTCTGTCCTTGCTTACAGCCTGGCCGGACCATCACACCATCTGGGGCTGAGCTCACCCATGCACCCAATGCCACCACGTGAGCACCTGTGCACCTTCGGGGTTGCACTGGGTGATGCTCAGGGTTCCCTTCCCATCCCCACCACTCTGCGGTGCCCACCATCCCGCCGGGACCCCCCCGGCTCGCCAGCCTTTACCTGCTTTATCTATCCAGGCCCTGTAGCCATTGAGCTCCCGTTCGATCTGCTGCTGGCGCCGCAGCTTCATGAAGGCTCGGCGGTTCTCCACTCGCTCACGTTCTTTGGCAAACTCCCTGGGGAAGGGCAAAGGGGGGCTGGTGAGAGCACGGCCAGGGTCAGCGGGGTGCACGGGGGGCTGGGAGGGAAGACAGGGACCAAGGGCGAGCAGGAGCCAAGGGGTGCTGGCGCACGCTTGGGAGATGCACAGCCATCCTCAGCCAAAGTATGGCCAGGGGACGGGTGAAAGATCAGAGAGGAGGAGAGGCTTCTTTGCAGGAGGAAAGGCATGGATGTACGGGAGCAAACCCCCTGCTTAGTCACTCAGCTCCACATGCCCCGGCCGGGAGTTGCTGCCGTGCGGGGAGGATGCTCCCAGTTCCGCCCAACTCCAGAACCAGCACAGCTTCTGCGTGTCCCTTCAGGGAATAAAAACCGGGCACTGTGGAGAGGCAGCAAGGGGATGGGGGAGGATAGATCCTGTTGACTTGAGACACCTGTGTTGTCCTTCTCTGGACTTGAGTGTCTCACACGAACTGTCCAGGTGTGATGACCAGTCCAGAGAAAGACAACAGCTTGGCGCAGCTCTGCAGAGGGCAGGAGGGCAGGCAGCTCTACGCAGGCAAGGGCATGTCAAACGCTGAGCAACGCCGGCCAGAGCCGGCCATGCCCACTGCTCATACAGCTTCTAACACACACGGTGCACAGAAGATGTACTAGCATCCACGTGCATCCCTAAGCACACACATAAACACACACCTCAGTATATAAGAAATATGATTTCACCTGTAGCCTAGTCCAGAGCTGTGCAAAGACACCCGTATGCAGCTAGGGCTATAGACACCTTCTCACATGCAGTTAAAACACAAGACCACGTTGGTAAGCACAGTCTGCTTTCTGGTTTACACGCACCTGTGACTGTACACAGAAGACCCATGCAGGTTTTTCACCCACTCTGTATGAAGAAGCATCCGAAGCCCTAAGCATGTATGCCCAGGCCATCACACGCAACCAGAAAAATGAAAATATTTGGAAGGAAACGCAAGGAAGGAAGGGTGTGCTGGGGGGGATGTCTGGTGTGAGGGATGCTCCCTATGCATAAATGTGATCATCAGTAGAGGTATGACATGCGGATCAAGATGCCCCAGGTACATGGTGTGTGCAAGCACAGGCTGTGGGACCTCCTAGAAGCAGGTGCAGCTGTGTTGTCTTACATGTAACCCACGGCATGGGTGGCAGGTTGCCTACATTGCCACTCCTTCCTTGCAACAACGTCAGGGGGGTGCAATCTACCTGGCTGCAGGTCCCCATCCCGTCCCCGAGCCCCGGTGGCCGCAGAGCCCCAGCTGCCTGCAGGAACCCAGCCCGTGCCCTCAGCCCAAACCTGGTCCCAGTTTGCTCCAAAGGAAGCATGACTGAAAAGAACAAATGTCACCGTTCGCTCTGCAAGATGAATGTCTCTCTCCCCTGAGACTAGCAGCGATCTCCAGCCTCAGGGAAAAAAAAAAAAAAAAAAAAGAAAAAGTAATATTCAAAAGAACTGAAAGAATTGGTCTGTCTGCTGCAGAGAGAGTTCAAGTGCATTACCCAAGCTGAGCTATTACGCCCTTAATGCTGTGTGGGCTTTTGCGCGCGTGTGCGTGTGTGTTTGTGTGAAAAGCCCTGAATGTTCCCTGCATCTCTTGTTTAAGATCCCCAGACAATTCAAGCATTTTTAATTCCACCCCAGGAAGGTGAAGTTTCCTGCCGCTCTGGCATTAAGCATTAAATGACTTTCCCTCTCCATTGCTGGCTTTCAGACTGAAATGAGACTTTCTTCCTAGGGCAGGGGAAGGGGGAGAGAACAAAAGGCAAGGAAGAGAAAAGCAGCCTAAGTGGAGGGAAGGAGGGTGGGAGGAGACGGGGGAGAAGGAAGGACCTCCCACAGCCAACGGCAAAATACACTCACAGTTTTGGGCATGTCATGCAAAAACCCTCTTTGCCTTAGCTGGAAGAAAGACAGGTCCATTTTGGCTGTGCGATCATCCCTCAGCAGCCTTTTTTAGTGAATTTGGGATATCAAGAAATGAGAAGAGGCCATTTGCAGCCAGAGTTAGGAGGAAAGTTGCCTCTCTCTCTGCTTTGGTCCACTGGTTCTCCTGTGTGATGAACCTCTGTCCCACAGTCTATAACCCCCCTGCCAGCCAGTTCCTTAGCAGAAGTTTTCCCAGCAGGACTCCGCAGATATATTCTGTGACCAGGAGCACCTGGAAAGCTCCCCCTGTTTCACACCCGCTGGGAATCTGGCCCCTCTCTGCCACCGCCTGCCTGCCTCTCCCTCTGTCTTCCAGCTCCTCCACTCCTGAGGTCAGTGTCTCATTTTGCAGCAAGGCGCGAGAAGCCATCACCATGTGTCCACGATGAAACCCAGCCAGAAGGACCAGCTGAGCCTCAAACCATCTTTTCCTGGAGGAGGAAATGGGAGCATCTTTTCCAGTGCCCCCTTCCTTGAGCACCGTTTTCCCCTACCCAACCATTTGCTCACAGAACCCTAATTTGCAAGAAGCTGCTGCCACACGCATCCAGGGACAAAGTCCGTGCAGCTGCGGCGGCGTCTCTGAGGGAGACATTTCCCACACGCTTGATCCCTAATGGAGCTTAATTGCTTTTGTCCATTAGAAGGAGGAAGGGGTGGCAGAAAGGGGAGGGGGAAAAAAAAAAAAAAAAAAAAAAAGTTAAGCTCAACTTAATGAATTATTACATTTCAGAGACACACGTTACCGAGCAGGGCAGCAGCGGGGGCTGGTGACATCTGAGAGTGGGTAGGCGATGCTGACAGATCAAGGATTGCTCAGAGCCAATTTGCAGCAGCGGGTAGAGATAATACTGTATGTGAGTGAGAACAAGGCCAGCGATGGTGACTGACAGCCGCTTGGGAAGGCTCCAAGGCACAGGCAGGGCGGCATCGCATCGCCAAGAGAGCCGGGTGCCTGCCTCCCGTCGAAGGGCTTTGCTCCCCAGCGGGTTTGGGTTACATCGCCAGGGCTGGCCCAGTTTTGCCTTGCAAGGAGCCCCATGAAGGCTGCGAGGGGGCTCAGAGGAATTCAGCAGATAGCACCCCAGCAACGTCTCTGCTTGTCCACCCGGGTCTCTCGACTCCGAACCCTGACGCCTCTAGCATGAAAACATCCACCCCCGGCAGCCGAGCTCCACTCGTGCCGACCCTGTGTCATTGCAGTCCTTCCCCGTTCAGCCTCGTAAAGCCGAAGGCAGGCAGCGGGTGCTGGAGGTCACGGTGGGACCCGGGGAGCAGGGTGCCATCTGTCCTTCTGCACACAAGGGCACCATCCATCCGCACGCCGTGCCCAGCCTGCCGGGGCGAGTGGAGCACAGATGGCTCAGTCCTCCTCTGCCTGCAAATTCTCCTCTACAGCCTCGGCATTCCCCTCATGCGGTCTCAGAGCGTCTCTGCTCCTGGCAGGAGACCCTGGGGGACACCACTGCCCTTGGCCACCTTCCTCCCCGAGGCCCCACACTCTTGCTCGCGCCGGGGCAGCGATGGTTTTACTACATCAGTGTGCTCTACTCCAAGGACTGGAGACCTCAGGTCAGGTTTTAATGGGAAAAGAACCCATGTGGAAGCATCCAGGTTGAAAATGGGCCCCCTTTTTGGGAAAACAAAACAAAACAAAAAAAAAAAAAAAAAAAAACAAGTAAACAGAAAAAACAAACAAACAAAAAACCAAACAAACCTAAAAACCCTACCACAAGAAAACCGATAACCAAAAATCAGTTAATTTAAAAAAAAAACCACAAACAAACAAACAAAAAACCAAAACAACCAACCAACAAAACAAAAAAAAAAAAAAACAAACCAACAACCAAAAACCAGTTAAGAAAAAAAAAAAAAGTCACAGATACTGCAACACACTTTCCTCCTTTTTAGAGCTTCTTTGAGTCCAGAGCGGATATACAGCACTGGTCACATCAACACTGTGGCTCCCGTGCTTTGATACAACAAGACAACCATCTTCAAACCCATCAATTTGTCACCTTTTGCCACTGTTAAAGACACATTCAACAAAGCAGTTACCAAACAGGTCTTAAAATGATACAAGGAAGAAGAAAGGATGGGGTGGGAAGAGGAGAAATACTGGATTACATGCTGAGGATGAGGCAGCAGTACCATGCTGCAGTGAAAAAAACTTTTATAATGGGATGTATAACAAGGAACACCATCTGTAAGCCATCAGGTAATACTGCTGCTCTCCTGAGGACTCGTGAGGTCTCATCTCATGGCTCCGCTTCAGGTTTAAGCGCCACAATTTGAGGAAAAACCGCCTTCGACTCCAGGAGGGTGTCAGAGAAGGTTATGGGACAGAACTGACAACAGACGGTTTGGAAAACATGGATGAGACAGTTGCAAACCAGGGGGGATCAGATGGTATTTACCCAAGAGGTGTAAAGGAACGAAAGTAAGAGTGTTGAACTAACTGTGTAGTGTGTAACCTGGTGCTTCAACTTAAACAGGCGGTGGCAAGCAAGCACAGCAGAACTGGCATTGCAGACCAGGATTATTGAACTGAACCGACAGCAAAGGCTAAAGCAGGGTGTCCAAAAGGTATAAAAACCTCTGCAGAGGGAAGATGTGCTTCATAGGTCTGCTTTGAAGGAGGCAACAAGTTTTCTCAATAAGGGTTATTGCTTGATTTAAGTTCACCTGAATTGCCAGAAGTAGTCAGAGAAGATTCAAGGTGAGGTTGGACGGGCCTCTGAGCAACCTCATCTAGTTGAAGATGTCCCTGCTCATTGCAGGGGGGTGACCTTTAAAGGTCACTTCCAACCCAAACCATTCTATGATTTTATGATTCCTTAACGAAGTTGGAAAGCCTATTCATGAGGCACTACCTGGTGAAAAGAAAGAACAAAAAAAAAAGGAAAACAGAAACATCCTATTTCTTGTATTCCCTTTCAGCAGTGGCCGTTAAGCTTCTGAACATCTCCGTGTACTTTGGCGACAGTTACGCGTTCACCACGTTGTGACAAAGCTGCAGCAAGAAGCGGAGCTTAGGGCTGACGATGATAAAAGAGAGCACAT